ATAAGGTAGTGGGATAAAAGAAATCATTAACATTTGTAACTGAGCAAATACATATGTGTTCTGAAGGTAATAATTAGAGCTGAAACAACTAATCGATTTAATCGATTATAATTGATTATTAAAATAGTTAACAACTTTTTTAGTCATCGATTAGTTGTTTAATAATCATATTTTACCACATAAAGTCTATTTTTTACCACAATCTGACATCGGTTACAATCTGTTAAATTTGCCGCCAGTGTGTGGCAGTAATGAGCCACTGATCTACCACTGGAGCCGTAGAAGAAGAAATGAGCCAATAAGTGCCCTCGGTTTTCATGACGTATCACGTTACTGACGCTCATCTTGCTGTGAGAGATGGCGGAACGAGAAGAAATACGGAAGAAAAATAGAAGCGACAAAACAAGAGAAACCCCGGACAAAAACCTCACGAGTATGGGAGCACTTCACTCTAGATGCCTTGAAAAGACGGGTGACCTGCAAAATATGCAAAAACCATGGCACGACAGAAGCACGACGTCCCTAAGTGAACATTTGAGACGAAAACATGTGGGGGCTGATGCAGCAGAGGAAAGTCCGGTAAGTAACAGAAAATAAACAAGCTAACGCAGATCAAATTTGGGACTTAGTGTTTTAGCCGAGTTCGTTATAGTGAATGTTAAACATGTTTTTTGCCGTGTCAGTCTACGTTGTTCTACTTCTGACTGACTAGATGCAATCGTGAATCTCCTCCGTGTTGTGAATCATGCGCTTGCCAAATTTAGCACGTCTGTTTATAAGAATGTTCTCGTTAAGAGAAAAACGGCACAAACCCATAACTATGTTCCTCATTCAAAAAAGGACAACTCCGCGGAGAAAAATATACAGACGAGCTGTGTCCAGGTGAATATAACACGGCATAGTTGTACGTTTTCAATTTTTAAATACAGAAGAAATTCAGAAAGTCCTTTTTTTTTACTATTAAAAGGCTGTTTTACTGTCTAACGCTGTAAAACGCCTCACAACACATTTTTGTCAAAATAAAGGATCACTGTATATTGTTAATTAATTCAAATAACGTAATATTGATTTAGTGTTGTAGTGTGTGTGCTGCTTTATTTTATATGTGTACTTATTTCAGTCTTTTTGTGTTTCTCATGCAGAAAAAAACAAGCAACGATGGACAACTACATGGGGAACAAGACACTCACCCCCCAGCAATGCATACCACTTACAAACTCTATTCTAGATTCTACATTATTTTTTATGGAATTTACCTCTTATATTTTGATGCCAAAAAATTATTCTGGACTGATATTTTGCACTGTTTAGCTCATTTTACACTGCTGACTGTGTTCATGTGCAATAAAATAGATTGCAGTCAACTGCACAATTCTATTATGTTTTTCTTTTTCTTAACTGAAATGTATTCACCACTTGTATAGGTTAAATAGCGAAACAATAACAAACTGATTAATCGAAAAAATAATCGACAGATTAATCGATTATGAAAATAATCGTTAGTTGCAGCCCTAGTAATAATATCGCCTTCATTACTGCTGTTGCTACACCTATGAATACGAGTAGCTCTATTGATGTTAGCAGCTAACAAGAGGTTATTAACTTACAGAGGCGACTGTCCTTCATTCTCCACCATGACGTGCATCGATTTAAGGTGTTCATGCATTCTCGTTGTGCTTCCGTGAAATGAGATTTTCACTTTGCAGATTTTGCACTCTACTTGCTTCTCTTTTGTCTTCGCAAAATGCTCCCAAACATTTGAGCTCAGTTGCCAACTTGCCATGATGTATTCTCTCTCCGGTGATCCAAAGGCTGATCTGAATGGCCACTACTGTGCATGTGCCTCAAGGAGAAAATAGCAACTGACCCGGATGGCGACTATTGCGTATGAGCCTCAAGCAGAAACGCAGCAGGTGTCTGCAGCAGGCGAGATTAAAAATGCTCACAGAATAAACAACGCGTCGACTTAAATTTAATGTTTTGTTTGTCTACACCATTGTGACGTGCCGACTAATCGTGGCTTTTTCCCCACACAAAGAGTATGTATCACTACTTTTGATACCTTCAAATCTCCCTTAAAAGTACCATAGAACATCAAAGATAGATAAAAAGTCACTTGTTTAATACTGTGATATATATTGACCAATATGAAAATGTACATCATGATAGGAAATGTTCCTCATCACTACCTTTAAATAATTAGCATAATGAACTAAACTTAATTAACTGATAAGAAGGTTCAACTGGAATGTTTACTTTGTAAAGTGCCTAGACTCTTGCTGAGATTTGGCACTACATAAATAAACTCAATTGAAAATTACTGTATGACCCAATTTGAATTTTTATGACTAAATATTTTAAAATTTACTTGAGACGTTCTACCAAAAACTAAGTACCTTAATCAGACAAAAATCACGAGCTTAAAAGGACAAATATGATGCTAATTAATTCAAGCAATAATGGATCAACCATATCTGGGCAGAGGAGTTAAGTGCCCCCCCCCCCCCCCCCCCCGAACAGAAGGTTTCAGATTCACATCCCGCTCAGTCTTTCAGCCACTGTGTCCTTGAGCAAGACACTTCACCCTCCTTGCCTGCTTGTGGTCAGAAAGAACTTATGAAATCCAGTGTATATGGCAACCTATCTGTCAGTGTGTCCCAGGGATACTGTGGTTGAATTGTGGTTCATCTCCAACATCGTGGGAATGGATGGATGACTGCTATGTTCAGGGTATATACAGCAATCCTTAAGTAAAATTTACTACTTTTTACTACTTTTTTTACTACCTTCAGAATTTTTTTAAAACCATCACAACACTAAATTGCAAGTGTTAATCAGCGACCTATTTACACATATTTTAACATATATAACATACAAAAAGAATAGACTTAGAGACTCACTGATGTTGACAACGTATTTCACATATTTATTTTACTTAGAAAATAAGCCAGGCACTTCTTTTCAGCGGTTCAGACAGTTGACCAGGCCTGAAATGATGCAGAACGACCACTGAATATGACGTCATCATTATGTGACCGGATATGCTAAAGTAGGGCTGCTTGATTATGGCAAAAACAATAATCACGATTATTGTGACTGAAACTGAGATCTCGATTATTTAAGACGATGTTTCAATTTATGTAGATTTTTATTTTTTTATTTTTATTCAGTCATAAAACAGCTCAGGGCACAATCAGGGCAAAAATAAACAAGATGATCACTAAAAGAACTCCTGATTCCCAGTATAAAAAGACCAATATACTTATAGCTCATAGTCTATGACCCAAGGCCTATAGACCTTGGTTTAACTCATTTAAGTCTAACCAGTACAGACCCAAATACCAATATCTTGCAAAAACTGACAACAAGAATTATACAGTGGCATTTATAACAAATAAATGCAAATTGATGTTCACTAAATTTTGCATAACATTTATTTAGTCGTGTCAAGGTGCTGTAGGAGAGTGCACTAGCACCGTGTCCTCAGAGAGATTAGTTATTATTTATCAGCGTGAGGAACTTATTTCTACCTTATTTATAAACTATTTATTTACAAGTCCATCAGTTAATGTAATAATTGTCCCAACCACAGCTGCACCCCCCACCCCCCCAACCCGGTCTCACAGCAATCAGGGGCAAGCTGCACGTGTGTTTAGCATGCCGCACGCGCACATTTAGCCGTTTTTAGCGGCTCAGGAGTCCGCAGGTACGGTGTGTGTGTCACTCACTCTGGTTACTCCAACAGGGAGCCGGCTCCGAGAGCTGTTTCTTTAGCGACTGACACATCACTACATCATTCCCTTTCCTAATGTCCTGAAGAACGGTCCGGAGCGCAGGCGGTGTTTAGCTAACCTGCAGGAAATGTCGACGACAGTTATCCAGAAAGTAGCTAAGGGTTACCAGAGATGTTTCTGAGGTGTTCGCTAGGTACTTTTAAGATTTAAAAAGTCAAGAAGGGGGTCTGAGAAGCTGTTAGAAATAGCGTCAAAGTCACCAAGTTGGCAACACTGTGGAGGAGCGCTTCATTTGCGACTCAGGGCAGCGCAAGTGGGCGGAGCAAATAATCGGCTTGTTTTGTTTTTATAATCGTTCAAAACATTTCATTCGGAATATACTTCTATGTCGATGTTCAGAATACGACATCTGATAGTCTGAAAAAAATAATACCTAATTTGGAAAATATAATACCTCTGAGACCAAATTTAACACTTTTAATGGCCTTAAATTTGATTATTTTTATTTATCACTTTTTAATACTTTTTAAAACCCCGCGGACACCCTGTATGTTATAATGCACCTTGGGGGATAGAACTCTTAAAGGTGCTATAAAAATATAGGCCATTTAAATGTAGATAGTTGTAATGTAATGTAATTAGGGGAGGTTTTACCTCACTAAAGCCCATTTTTTCAGTATAGTTATGATATTTCGAGGTATTTTGGAACTGATGAAATTCAGTATCAGCAGGTCAAAACTATAAAAGCATCAGAAAAGATTACCAGTCTTGAAAAGCAACTCATTGTTGGACATATAATTCAGATTTGACCAGTCTACGTTTTGCAAAAACGAATAAAGCAATCAAACTGGGTTATAAAGCATCGAAATACGGATGTTGTCTGACTGCCAGTATGAAAATACTGTAAATTTTAAACTAGACCCGAGTTTGATTTGAATGACAAAAAGCTGTGATACGGCCATTTACTAAACTGCTGAATGGAACGTCAACAGCGCGCGAGCAAATAGTTAGCTTTTATGCTAAAGATGATGAATGCGAAACAACCCAGTAGTAATTAAAATCTAGCCACTAAGGATGGAAACATTAACTCCTAACATCAATCCCTAAATTGGGACTCGGATCTATCTTTGTTTTGTTTTAGGCAGCCCTTTTGCGGTACATTCATTCATGCAGTTCTGTTCATCACACGACAACCACAAGCCAGCCTCAGCAGAACCTCCATTTTGGCTAGCCCGCTAGCTCAGTTAGCATTTTACGGCGACTCACCATCCCTTGCTGTTCCCATCAGCTGGTCAAGCAACGCTCTCATTTGAGCTTGAGCAGACATTGTTGTTGATGTTCCGTCGACAGGTCTAGTTATATATCCAACCAACAGAAAACAGTTCCCTAATTTGTTAGTTTTTCTGTGTTTTAATCATTCCACCATCACCACTCGCAGCTTTACGCAGTTTTGTCAACTAGCCAGTTTCCGGTTATTTTGGAGGAAATTGCGACACAACTTAGATTCTAAAATCAACCAATCTGATCTTTACAGACAAGCGGAACATCCAATCACAATAAGGACAATGTCAAGGGATTTTTAACCTAAACCAGGACTTACAGGTTGTGGACTTACACAACTATTGTCCTGTTGTAACGTATTTTATTAAACTATACTTTTAGGCCAAATTAAAAAATATATATTAAAGTTTAGCTTTAGAAATAATCATTGTCTGATTTAGCCGTTTTTCCATCTTGAATTACCTATCAGACAAATTTAAGGTTCAAATTTTCAAAGATATTTGCACTTGCCATTTGTTTACTAGCAAGTTTGTTTGAGAGGTCTGGTTCTCTGCAGTGAACGCATGAAACGAGAGTGGAAAGTTTAAAGTAAGTAAACCGTTTTCCAATTTGTGTAAACTTTTTACATTCGTTTTTGTTTCTTCCAACTGTTGGTATGTCGTGTAAGCGTTACCTTAGCACTGCTTTTGGGAGATGCGGTCGTTCAACAAGATATGATAGAATAATAAAAAAAAAAATTCTACCTTTTTGATCATTCTCACTTATTTTGCCAACGCGAATCCAACAAAATAACGTTCGCGTTTCAGAAATATAAGTGAGTTCACTGATAATCTGATTTTATTTATTTTTTGTTGCAAATATCCGTTTTAACTTTGAGCAACAATAGCCTGTGGCTATTGTGCTAATAACAGGGTGTTTCTGAGTCAGGGTGACAGGCTTTTGCTTTGTTGTTGTTTTGTGCTGAGAATCTTCTAGTGTCATTGCTGGCTCATCTAAACAGACACAGATGCTGCAGTGCAGACAGAGTAGAGACAAACACTGCAGCTTCCAGTATTTTCATTTGCTTTATATTAATGCCCAGTGCCTTTTTTTCATGCAGACATTTTTTTGTGATTTATTCCAAACGTGGGAACTGACGCAGATCTAAGCTATGTTGGATTTCGTGCCACCAGTAGCTTTGTTGGAATTCATCTTCTCTTTCTAGCAGGTTTGTTATCAGTAATGGAATAAGCAGGCAGCAATGGAGAGGTCAGACCATGCAACGGAGGGCGATCCTCTGAAGAGGGGAGAAGATGGGACAGAAACGGTCACGGGAGCAGCGTCAGCATCAGGACCAAAAAAGAGGAGCTGTAAAGGCCTGGGTTTTTCCAGACTGACCCACTGGAGAACTGCAGTCTTCTTCCTTTCCTTGTTTCTCTGCCTCATCATAGTGTTTGCCTTCTCCTTCATCATGCCCTGTCCTGTCAGAGCTCAATACCTCGTTACCTGGAAGAAGACTTTCTCAGAATCAGGTCTGTTTTTTTTATTTTTTTTTTTGTTTATACTTCACCTCAGAAATATTTTAAATAGGGGATTAACTGTCACTTTAACATTCTCCCACACAGTCACCTATGAGTTCCTGGCTTTTGAACATTCAAACGACGACAAAGTAAAGGATGTCCTGTTCATCATCAAAAACACAAACGGCACGCTGAACCAAACATGCACAGAAGCAGGTATGAAAGTGTTTGAGATCTGGAGTTCAAACGTAGCTTCAAAAGATTTGAGAACAAAACAAAAAGGACAGAATTTTTTTTTTGTTTATTTGTAACTGACCTGAGGTCTGTGTGTTCCCCAGGCCTGCCTTCGCCGTGTGTGTTTGTGGTAGCGGTGGATGGCACTGATGGAGACACACTGTGGGAAAGGCCGCTCCACCCCGAGTTCCAGTGGGCTCATTGTGATCAGGGCAAAAAGACGAGCAGAACCTGGCACTGTCTGATGTCTCACTCTGGTAATCTCACGGCTATCAACAAGAACACAGGTTAGGACTCAGCTCCATTTGTATGTTAAAAAGGGCAGTAGATGCATTAGAACCGGAGGTTCTTTAGTTTCAATAGTGTCAACAAAGTTCATGGTAAATTTTAAAGAACCTCACCAACTTGTAAACATGAGTTCATGAATGACGGCTAGTCTGAGGTAGGGGATGGCTCTGATTAAACTTGTTAGCTTGAACAATATCAATTATGTCAATAATTTTGCCAGAAACTCCTCAGATCCTGACTCAAGTTATCGTAAGCAGACAAGTTTATATGATGATGCTGCATGGAAGCCTGTGGGATTAAGTCAAGCTGTGGATTATAAAGCAAGTCAAACCAAATCTCTAATTAACTGATGTGTTTGTCAGGTCATGTCATTTGGCAGCAGCCTCAGCCTACTGTTCTCGTCGGCTCTTTACCAGTTCTTAGTGTTCCGGATCTGGATCAGGACCAGGTTGATGATGTGGTGTTGGTGGCGTCGAACAGCACACTGGTGATGTTGTTAATTAAACCTTTGGTGACACAAACTGTGTCTTTTTTAAAATCAATGTGTTTACTTTTGGTCTTTTTCCCTTTGATAACAAAATTTATGTAAATGACTTTTCCAATTTGCAGACTCAGCTGATTTTACTCTCAGGGAAAACGGGTGCTCAGATGGGTTCTACCGTGGTTCTTGATTCCGTTCAGACTGCCAATCATCTCATCCATGTCACTGTAAAGGGTTTCTACTACATACTACTACAAAACGGTTTGTATCAGCTTTTTAAAAGGAACCCAGGTTACAAAACGTTGTGGTTCTTAAAAGATAAATGTTAGTATCAGTCATATTAAAATGGTGTAAAAAACCTTCTTAATGTCTTCATTTTTATCAAATTTATTAAAGTATTTTAACTCGTAGGTCGCCATTGTTGTTAGTGTTGCAATGCACTCTGGGTAGTGACGTCAGATGGTTGTACCTCGGTTGCACCGGTGGCTTTGGTACCCTGGCCTGTAGTGACTGTTCAGCGACATCAGCATGTCATCTGTTCAGCCTTTTCAATTTGAACCAGAGCGACACATTAATGATGACATCACTGACCATGTTTCACAAAACGAGCATCAAAATGAAAAGCAAGAAGGGCGGGATGAAGCGAGAGCAGGACAAAACCGAAGGTGCGGCAAATGCGTCTCCATGGTAACCGAGAGGGAGAGTGTTTGTTGTCAAGAGCTCACATTTTTGTCAGCAGAAGTTAACGGTAAGCTATCGTGTGATCAAACTTATTCAATTATGAATGATTTGGGAGAATTTTAGCATCCAGAGCTGTCGTGTGTTTATAGATGATTAGAAAATTCAGTGAAACATCTTTAATCGTTTAGCAGATATTATATATTTGGAGAAGACTGTGTTGCTACGTTTACTGCTTGTTTTACTGACGGCAGAGGTGAATGTTCAGCTTCATCCGTGACGAGTGGCGTATCCGATGGTTCGCTGAATGTGACAGAAACGGCAGCTGCAGGAGCGGGTTATCGGCTCAGGAGAGCGCCCAGTGTCTCTCGTCTCTCCGAGGGCGTTTAGGCTCCTTGTGTTGGAAAATGGTCGGTAAAGCATTTAGTTTCCGCCTTCTCTTGCACCCAGCCGCTCTGGTGAACTCTTTAAGTAGTCGTGGTCGACTATAAGCCTCAAACGCATCAGGAGAAAAAGGTTGGGAACACAGCCGCAGATATTTGGGAAGTTGTGTCCGTCCACAGGCATCTTCCCACTGCTTTCTCCTTTTCTTGCCAGTGGGAAAGCTCTGTAACCTCACATCACTCCTCTTTTTGCCCTTTGACTGGAAATTACATCCAAAAGCAGAACAATGCAGCATTTTACTTAATTTTGAATACGGTGAGCGCGTAAACAAATACTAGCGTCAATAGCTATACTTCCAAGTGCAACCAATATACGTTGCCCCCAAAGTGCATTGCGTGCGGAAAACATGGCGTCCTACGTATGTCAAAAAATGTACTAAATATTATAGATTTATAAATAAACAGCAATATTTTTGTGTGTTTCTAACAAATAGTTTGGTACAACAGAAAACTTGTGGCTTATTAGGGCACACATGTCCTCATAGCTGGAGTTCCTATTAAGCTAGGTCAAATAAAAGTTTCCCTCACTATTTTTTGTCTTTCTGCAAAAAGCCTCATTTGTGATAGAGGGGCTAAATAACCAGCATGCTTCTTCACAGCTCAGAATGTACGTGGTGATATGTGCTGGTGTGAATTTCCTCACAGACACAGATGTGTATGGGCTGGAACTGTTGGGGATTGCAGCCAAGGCAGGACTCAAAACGGACAAAGTCATGGAGGCAAAAGCCAACTCTGCTGTTACCCTTTTACCCATTTACCAGTAAGAAGCAGCTCACACTCATCCCTTGTTGATATTGTGACTTTGGTTTAAATATCTGTAAAATATTTGATAATACTTTGTAGATCCAACGCTGTGAGCCTGGTGAGAACTAAAGAAGCCGATGATTCCTCTGACCTGCTGGTTGTTTCTGGGAATGAGGTGGCTCTAATTAATGGGAAAACATTAAGGCTAAAATGGAAGTTCAGCTGCAGCTCGGTCATTGGGTAATTCCTCATTTTTATTCACTTAAAGCTGTTCTAGCAAATCTACAGAACAAGCTAGGTTCTTAGCACGAACACTCGCCCCCCCCCTTGGGTATCTTCCCAGAGACTCTTCTGCCAGGACCAGAAACCCGTGATGCCAGAGGAAACGATAGAGCTCTAAACATCGGTCGCCGTTTTCTAGGTCCAAACATCTTTTGTTGTCCGAGACTTCAAAAGGTGTTTTTCGTTTTGGGATTCTGGTAGTTTGTCCTAAAGTTGGAGTGGTATCAGCTCAGCTCCCTCTCTGATATTACTGAGTGGAGAACCTCTCACACCAGTGGTGTTCTGTTGCTGAGAGTGTGTGAGGAGTGGACGACCCAGGGAAGTGCAGCGGTTCAGTGAGACCGACAACCGGATGGTTTAATAGTTACTTTATTTATTTTTTTGATAAATGTGAGAAAACCACTTCATTGATTTATTTTTGTGTATTTTTTATCTTCACAATATTTTTATAGCATTTATTTTTAAATATTTTTAATGTTATACATTTTTTCTTGCCTTGTCGAGAGGCGCAGCATTAAAGGTCGTTTTCTTTCTTTTTTCTTCTTTCTTTGTTAGAGCATAGTTAGGAAAGGTGTATTAAGCTAAAATGTTTTCCAAAATTTGCCATTGTAGCTTTAGTTGTTGTTTTATATCAAAACTTCTTCAAGTACAAAAACCCTCATGCATACGAATGCTTCTGTTTTATTTAACTAGAAAAGTTATGGAAGTCCGACAAAAGTCTCCACGAGCTTTAAATGAAAAGGGATGCTTTTAATTTGAAAGTATCACCTTTCTTGTTTTGAGATACATGCTGTGGATACAGCGTGTCTCCTGATGTGTAACAGGAGTTTTACAATTATTTAATACAATGATTGAGATGCAAATAACTAGAAACTCATTCTGAAACCTTATAAAGTTGTGTTCTATTTTTTGTCTGATTCTCATGATATTTTTATTATTACAGTCACATTTTTAGTCACTGTGCAAATGAAGAACAACCAAATTAATTCAGAAACACATCAAGGCTAGCAGCTTTGTGTCGACTATGAATGCTGTTGATTATCTCCAGCTGTGATCTTTTTCAATCGTAGTCGTCGACTGTTTTTTAGGATAAAATTTTGATAAAATACTTTTAAAAAGATGCTAAGTGAACGATGAAAATTCATCCTCTGCTTTAGTAGTTTCTACTTTTGAGTGAAATATTAAACTAGTTAAACGTTTATGTTGTTGCTTCAGAAAGCCCTCCCTCGGCCACTTTAACAAAGATGGTGTTCTCGATGTCGTTGTTGAGGACGACGTAGGCAACCAAACGAAGAGGGTGAGTTCATTCATTATTCTGACTTGCTGATGGGCTTGATCCACATGCTCCCGTCTCTGATGTCCGTAGATCATTATCCTGGATGGGAAGTCTGGTGGCGTGTTGTGGGAGGTCAGACTTCTTGCTATTGCTAACTCACCAGGACCCGCCTCCATCTACACCACCAAATCAATCTCAGTCTTCATAGTTTGGGGCTTGATGCCATCAGAGTCCAACTCAACTGTAAGGAAACTGCTTTCAGGGAAACAAAAATATTTACATCAAACTTGCGCGTTTCGGAATTTCACATAACTTTTTGAATGTTTCAGAAACCCCTATCTATCTCTCAACGCTCTTATTTGCTGCATCCACATCACTCTGAAGTTCTCCTGGAGATCACCAATGTCACAGACCACATTTTATCATTTAAAGGTGATTCTTCATCTTTCTAACCTACCTGCACAATCCCAAAATGATAAAGTAGTGACACATTTTAATATTTTGTTGTTTCAGCCACACTCATGGAGCATGGGCGCCATGCTGCCTACCTCCTTCTGACGGGTCCCGAGAGTGAAGACACCAACGGCACTGTGGTCCTCACTAAGCAGAAGCTGAAGCAGAACATCTCTAAAGATGATGTTCGTCATCTCGGCACCAGCACAGAAACAAATGAGGAAATCGTAGAGGCTTTTCAGCGACTCCGCTTCAGTGACTAGTCAAAACGTTTGGATTTGGTAGCCTGTCTGGACCTTTAACCTACAACATTTGATCACTTGGAACCTTTCAACTTAAAACAGCCAAAGAAAATCCTCTTTTTATTTTGTTTAGAGCTTTACTTTACCTGACAGGGTTCTTCCAAAGCATTTTAGTGTCTAAAAGTAGGTCTTACACATCCTCAGGCTGGACCACACTTATGCTGCAAAAATCAAGCTGCTGTTTGTTCACGGCCCCTCGGCGCAGTTCGCTGTTCTCCCACTGAAAATTCTAAGCCTACCCTGCTGAATTATAATTAATGGGCTCATGCATCAGTACAATTGTCTTTGAAGCTGAATTATTTGAATCTATGCAACCGATTGCTGTTGTGTTCTAAAGGTTGCAGCCTCGTGTCTTTACAGAAGCCTTCAGAGGTTTATTACTCAGTGGTTGGGCTAATTAGGTAAATGTGTTTAAGATTTAAGACCATAGCAAACATTCACTGGTACTGTTTGAAGACACTTCAACCCAACCAAACCACTACGTTCTAAGAGATTGTACTAAACAAATACAGTTTTATTTTGTTTGTGAATGTGTCAATCGGTCTTGAAGTCAATGAGTTGACGATCAAGACATAAATGCTGGTTACTTAATCCAAGATGCTGTAGTTTGTGCCGCTATTTTCCAAGAAATGGGTTATTTATAAAGTTGCTGAAATGAGATATTTAATTAAAGTCTCTATTGAAAAAAAAAACATCTTAGTCTATGAATAATCATAACCCTCCCACTGTCTTTATGGGTGACCCCGTGAGGAACGTTGACCATTGAGCAGGATTGGTGGTTTATCCCCTGAGGTCCATGGGCCCAAGGGATAAACCACCAACCCTGCTCAATGGTCAACTTTTCTTGCAGGGTCACACCCATTAGGACAGCGGGAGGGTTAAACCATGTCTTGGAAAGTGAGCTGCAACAAACATCAAATCTGCTCAATAACGAGTGTCAGATCTACTATAGTTAATGTTATGAAGCCAATTTGGATAAATAAGTTAAAAGGTTAGTTTTTTGAGTAATTTTTTAAATCAAGTGAAACCAGCCTTTATTGAGTTATTTTCCTGTTATATTAACATGTTTGGTTTAGATGCATGAACATTTTTAATACATTAAATTTGGTTGAAAACAGGCCTTTGTTTGTACTTAATTGTTATTCTTTAAAAAAAGACTAAATACTGCTCAGTTGTTTCGATGCATGAAAAAAGTCATTTTACCAGACAAAACATAATCCTTATAGTTTTTACAAGCACAAACTTGTTTACAAACTAATTCTTGAGCCTTATGTGATTATAATAGCACATATAACATGTTTTTCATGTTTGAAGGGCATTCCAGTACTGAATTTAACACAATAGCCTGTTAAATAATAATAATAATAAAAAAAAATTATAAAATGTTTGAAAATATGCAACATTTGTATTTACTGCCTTCTGATAATTCACTTTACAGGTAAGTCAAAACACAACACGTACAGCTGGTGTGCTCATCTACACAGGTTCATAGTGACAATATGCAGTGGTGTGTCTAGGAATTATTTTGGGGGGTGGCCAGGTAGGGGCACACATTTGGACAAGGGTGGCACATTTAAACTGCTAAAAATTTTGAAAAAAAGTTATTTTTTTTATTACAAAGCATTAATCGTAATCGAATTGGCTTCTATAAACCAAAATGAAGTCAAAGCACAATACCAGTGGAGAACTATGATCAATTATGACAGTTTACCATGAATAAATGCATAAATTTATCACAATAAAACTGGGACTTTCTTTTCGAAAAGAGAGGATGGTGCACTTTGATGAATGAGATGTCATTTCCAGACATTTTAATGCATTTAAACTTTTTGCTTATCTGTAACTGTTTAAATATTTTTCAGCTAACAAAATAAGTGACTTTTAAAACTACCAATGAAACAATATCAGCAACAAGAAATGAAATGTCTGTTTAGTTGAACCCAGTAGTCTAATCAGAATTCCTGAAATGATTTGGAGGATGAACCAAACACTGTTTAATGCTACAACCTCCCCCACACACACACACACACACACACACACCTACCCACCCCAAAAGTAACTTTCAAATGCCATTTCATATTTGATATTTTATTGTTTAAATATTTTAGATTTAATGTTTTTTTTAATTTATTTGTTTATATATATTCTAGATGCTTCTCTGTCTCAGTCTTTGGGGTAGGTTGTGTTGTGCACCCCCAATCACCCTCTGGAAACGCCCCTGAAAATACGCAGGAAACTTTAAACCAGTGTTTATCCTAACGGAAGATGAGAGTCATTACTGTTAAACTATCCAGACTTCACTAAAAGCTTTCCAACCTCACGGATACCTGTTTCATAAAGACCACGCGCGAACCGGTAATGAATGTTATGGTCCAATGAAAACGCGGAACTTTTTCTAGTCACTGGTTATCGCTCACCGTCGCCAGATATTTCGTTTTTTTTAGCGGAGCTAACTAAATGTTTGTAGTCACTCACATAATTTATTTAATTGAATGTTAGGACAAGAAAAAAGGTAAAATAAAACAATCCACCTGTGTGTCAGCATCTGTAAATGATTGACATCTACTTCCGCCTTTACCGGAGAGAACATTTCTGTTCTAAACATTAAATTAAGCTCTGAGTGTGTTTAAGCTAACACCGGGTACCCATGACAGCAGATACCGTAGTGTGAAAGCCTAAAAACTCTGAAATTACGTATTTATCATCTCAATGTGACCCGTGTCCGCCATATCCTTACAATGAGATGGCACGGCTGCAGTCATTTCTCTGTACAGGAGGCACGCGCCAGGCGCTCGCGGAGGAGCGATACGTCAACCATCCGGTGAAAAAGAGAAAAGTCACTCTGGGGTCGAGTGCTTAACTGCGACAAAAGGTAACGTTTACCTGCGTCTGGTTACCTACGTAAATGGTGTTTCTGAAGAATTTCAGGTGAATAACGTCAGGGCGTGAATGCTGCGAGTTTTGGTTTCTTTCGTTAGCAGAAAGCGATGTCGTGATAGGAAAACGCATAAATGGGGAAGAAAGCTGTAAGAATAAAAATATAGGAAAAAGGAAACTAGCTTGTTATGAGGAAATTCCTCTTTCCTAAAGGACGCGGCTATTAATGCCGTTCAGTCTTTTCACACGACTTATTTTGTCCCAAATTTAGGTTAAAATGGGGAGCATTTTGTGTTTATTTTCAGCCCGTTTTTATAATCCCGCCTTTGATAGGACGAGTCAGAGCCGAATTTCTATAAACAGCTTCAGGTGCCGCATGCGGCGCAGCGGGGGCTTATCTGTGGGGTTATTTACCCACCAAAGTCCGTCCTTTCTCTGCTTGTCTCATCCACACCTGCTTCTTTTGACAGACTAAAGATGGCTGAGGACATTAAAGCTAAACTGGAGAATTACCGCACTGCCCCCTTTGATGCTAGATTCCCCAACCAGAACCAGACCAGGAACTGCTGGGCCAACTATGTTGGTAAGATTACACAAGGTCAAAGCTCGATTCTGTTGTGTGAGATGAACACACCTCAAACACCTTTTATTATGGGTATTACCTATTAACTGAATAGATGGGCTTGAACGCTATGGGATGCATTCTACTGGAGTTTATTAGGCTAAATTTGACCTCTAAAATAATCAGAGCCGCTACCAGTTTGACAAGGTTCATTTTCAGTTCATAATCTCTTTATTGTGCTTATTTCACAGACTACCATCGCTGTCAGAAAGCTTTGACTGCTAAAGGAGCAGACATAAGCCCTTGTGAGTGGTACAGTAGGGTCTACAAGTCCCTCTGCCCCGTGGCTTGGGTAAATATTTATCCCTTCCTTCTTTCTTAAATTAAACTAACCACATTTTAAACCATCTGAGGTGATGTCAAGGGAATTAGGACAGTTTTGTTTAGCAGGGGTCCAATAAGTAGTTTTTACAGCCATTTATATAAAAAAATGCAGCCCTGTCCAAAACAAGCTGTTTAAAACAGTCTTGTCAGGTTCAATCCCTGGTCATTATTTATGCTTCAACACAGTGAGTGGAGCACAACTTCTTACTTCTATTTTCCAGCCCTAGATAGCTGTATTTACTGCTGTGTAAAACAAAGTGCTTTTATCGACATTGAAGAGGGCGTATTTGAGCCCAGCGGAGCTGGTTTTGGTGAAAAGTGGGAGAGTTCAGTCATGAAAGACCTGGAGCTTGAAAATCACATTTCCAGGTCCTGTAAACGTTTTAGAATTTTACTAAATCCAAGTTCAAACCCTTAGAATTAATGCAAAAATAAACGAGAAACGGACGCTAATGCCAAAGTGGCTTGGTTGGCAGACACAAGCCGAAATGAAGATATCAGAATGCCAGGGAAATGCAGCTTGGATTTTAATGGACAAATACCGAAGATGGATGTAAAAGGATGCCAAGTCAAGACACTAAAGCCTAGTTCATGCTTCTCCATCTGGGGAGGTGTGGAGACGCAAATTGTCCGCGTTTGCAAGGGCTCTCCAACAGGCACGCAAGGATGGATGGAGTAGAGCCCAATTTTCTAGTTATTCATCAAAAACAACAGAGACCGTAAGTCTGTGGTTGGTCAAGATGCCATTTTCTTTAAATTTGTCTGCAGCCTTTCCCCCCAAAACGGAACCGATTGAAGAAAGTGACGATATAAATGTTCATACAACCACGACTGGAGGAGTGCAGAGATACGCAGCCGACTTTTTATTTGTGTCAGAACATTATGGGAAACATGGGTTTGGAGATACCATACCATACCAATTTTATTTATATAGCACATTTAAACACGGCATGAGAGCCGACCAAAGTGCTGAACAAAAACACACAATAAAAACAATCAAAAATAAAAACTAAATCCATTAAAATCAAGTAATCCAACTCGAAAAGAAAAGGAGAAAGGGAGTAAGTTAGACAGAATTAAAAGCCAGAGAATAAAAGTGAGTTTTTAAACGAGACTTAAAAAGGGAAAGAGAGGAAGAGAGTCTGATCGGGAGGGGCAAGTGGTTCCAGAGCTTTGGTGCACAAACTGAAAAGGCGCGCTCCCCGCGGGACTTACAGCGAGAGCTAGGGACATGTAGGAGGTGTTGGTCAGCTGATCGGAGGGATCTTGTAGGGACATATGGGTGAATGAGCTCAGACAAGTAGCCAGGTGCTAAGTTATTGAGGGATTTAAAAACAAAAACCAGGATCTTAAACTCTATCCGGAGATGGATGGGGAGCCAATGGAGATTTGCTAAAACCGGTGTGATGTGTTCCCGCTGCCTGGTGCCAGTCAAGAAACGAGCTGCTGCGTTCTGCACAAGCTGAAGTCGAGCGAGAGTGGAGGAGGAGATACCGTACAGCACTGAGTTAGAGTAGTCGAGACGGGAAGTAATAAATGCATGGACAACTGAATGGAGATGACGCCTTTTTAAAATGGGCTTAACTTTAGAGAGACGCCTCAGGTGGTAATAACAGGTCTTAACTACCTGGTTGACATGAATGTCCATTTTTAGTTTAGCATCCATCACAACCCCTAAGTTTGTGACACGGTTTTTCAACCCACTTGTGATAAATGGAAGGGTCAGTTGGGGACTTTGAGAAGTACCAGGGCTGAAAATGATGGCCTTTGTCTTAGCGTCGTTCAGCAAAAGAAAGTTTTCTGACAGCCAGCTCTTCACATCATTGCAGCATTCAACAAGGGGCAGTAAGGAGTCATTAGGCTTCACAGAGGCATATAATTGGCAATTGTCTGCATAAAAATGGTAATCAATGTGGTGTTTTTTAAAAATGTCACCCAGGGGCAAAATATATAAATTAAATAAAAGGGGTCCAAGAATAGAGCCCTGAGGAACACCACAAGTCAAAGCTGCAGAGGGGGAGGCAGCACTACCCATCATAACATTAAAGGTGCGGAGATGGTGACTGCATGAAGAGGTGGAGGAGAATAAGGAACAGTGACACACTAGAGACACGACTGCAGGGATGGCAGGATAGGGAGCCTAAGTTACGTAGCCTGACCAGCCAGCCCCATGCTTCCACCTTGTAGTTCTGTGTAGAATTAAACAGAGGACCAGTTGGCCAGGCCAGGCTATACGTTGCGCCCACCTACTTCTGCTAAAAGAAAAAATGAATGGGAGTCTAAGAGAGGGATAAAAGATTTTCTGGTTCTGTATGGTATGTGCCATTAATCTCACGTAAAAAACATGTTTTAATGCAAATAAAGTGTTTATTTTCATCAGGATCTGGAAGTAGATGGGCATGATTTAAGCTCCCTATTGTACTCCTATTCCCATCAACCTGTTTTTAGGACCAAGTGTACAGAACACCCCGAACCAGTTCTTCGACTACAACTCAAGGAACTTTAGACTTGTCATCTAAAATGAGGCACTGAAAGCCAAGATACTGCGGGTGTTTAAAATGATGAATTCCCATTACTCGTATTAATCATCAGAAGACACGAGTCAGCTTTTCGCAGCTATGTTCCCGGACAGCCAAGTTGTGACATTTGCCTGCAGTGAGAGGTTGTGTGCATAAATCGACACATTTGGGCTTGAGCTGCATTCTAAGAGGCTCTTGATGGAAGTATCCAAACAAAGTGCATACGTTGTTATATGACCGGTGTTTGAAATGAAAACAAGTGGACATTCACATACGCTTGTGGGAAGGAGAAGCTAAAAGCAGAAACATCGTCTAAAGTTGGATTTAAAAACCTTATCCAGCTGTCTGGAAGGTTCTTGGCTTGATCCAGAGGGAGATGCAAGAACAGGTGGATGTGGTAAGCCTAGCAAGTTTGAACTCACACACTTACACACGTGCTGATGCTGTGAAGCAGTTCTCTGCCAGGACGACAGAGGGCGTAGTGCTTTTCTGAGTTATCCTGCCATCATTGCACACTAGCAGTGACGGCTCAGAGGCTCATTGTGGGACGTACATTATCTGATGACCCATGAGTTTTAATCGGCTGTGTTGGAGCAGCTCAACCTCTAAGATCATCATGATAAAGTAAACTGAGGAGAACATTTCTCTCCTCTGGCTAAAAGACACACATTTGTATTGATTCTGTTTAACGGATCACATAACTGATAATTAACAAATCATCCTTTGAGAGTTGACATATTTTAGTGTAGTTTGCTAGTGAAAGTATCGAGTTTCATTAAAAATGGTTTTCAAAAGTTTTTCCATTTTTGTATTTTTAGGTAGAGAAATGGGACGAGCAGAGGGAGGCGGGGACCTTTCCTGGAAAAATCTGAGACTGCCATGCCCGTAGGCCTTTGCCTCCCCAGACTGTCAGCTAAATGTTTGTATCAGAGATGCTCTTCATCGTTGCTGTTCCACCACTCCTGACCCAGGAGCACACTGACCTGAATGGTCATTCCCAACAGCCGCTAATTGTGCATTAAAAATTCTCAGGATGTATGTACGGAGCTCAGTGGTGTCATGTTTATTTTCCTGTTAAAACAATAATGAATGCATTGTTTGTTTTGGGCTAATCTAAACAAACTCACGGCGCCGACAGGAGAGCTGCAGAGTGCCTTCACACTGATTGATCCCCAGAATCTGAAGGAAAAGAACTGCACAACAGTAAACTTGAATTGTTTACATTTTATTAAAATAAACTTACATCAAATATACATAAAGATTAGAAAAATAAATATTTGAAAACGCTCGACGTCGGACAACAGCCGCCACCCTGAGGAGCAGATCTGATGATCGTTGTTCCTGTGGGATGTTGGGAAATAAAATACATAAACCTGCATTTCATACATTGGTACTCCCAGGTGTGGGGGAGTGTGAAGTGATATGATCAGATGGTAAAAACTAAAAAGACCATTTTCAGATTAAAACATCGACTCTTGAGAAGAACCTTCCATGCAATGTGTTAAATATTTACGAAAGCACACCAGATTACTAAGTTATAGTGAAGGTGGAACCACGTGTCCTCTTTTTAAACATACATTTTCATTTGAGGTAAGATATTAGGATTTGCATATTAGAGGTTGCTTATCTACATAAAAAAAATCTTTGTAAAAAAACGTTTTTATTTAAAACAAAACATTTACCTCCACCTTTGATCAAGGCCACTTGGATTGCTAACAGCCTTTTCCTAATCAGAGCCAAGCAGACTGAAGTGAAGACAGGTAGTTTTATACAAAGCTTTGCATAAATTAAATCCTTTTAAGGTTGAAATATACTGAAATGACATTTTTTTTATTACACAAGCCATTGCGATCGCCTTAAAAAGGTACAAATCTTTCCAAACGCACTTTAAATTCAAACCTGCTGTGGAGGATTGCAGCCAACTCTCTAACAGCCATAAAAACGAGCTGCATAGCTTCAAGAGGAGATGCACTGATGAGGTTTTTGCATCTTTCAGGCTATGATCATTTGGCTCGTCAGTAGTTAAGTTACATTTAACAACATCCTGATGTGTGCATCTTCCTCTGGCGTTGAAGTTTGTTTTTAAGGAGTATTTACATGCCAAAAGTAGCATTAGCATACGCAGCACGAGTCACAGATAGCAGCCACAGGTTTAGTGTTCAGTACTAGAGGCACGATAACGCGGCTGATCAAACGCAGCCTCACAAAACTCTCCTGGCACCGTGGGCGGGATAACGTGTATGTGTCATGCATCTGTGGGGGGTGTTTTCACAGAAAAGGAGGACAGAACAGAGTGGAATTCACTGTGTGTGTGTAAACCAATAGTCCGAGCACAGTCCTCCCTCGTGGTTGCTTGGAGATTTAATAAAAAGGTTTTTCGAAAGTCGCCTACCGAGAGAGGAGCTGTAGGTTCTCTTGTTCAGTTCTACACTCTGAATAATTTAACCACGTCTCTTTAGTATCTCCTCCTCCCGTGTTTCCCACCATCAGTCATGCAGGTTTTAGGCCGGAGAGCTGCGTCGTGGAAGGAGAAGAAATATATTTTAGAAAACTAAGCAATACACCAAGAAATGAAGGCCCGCTTGTTTTCCCTGAATCACCTGGATCTGCCGCCTGCTTCTTCTTGTTGTGATAAACAATCTGATTCTCATTGGTCATCATCACATCCTGATCCTCCACTTGGTTACTGAAACAACAACAGGAAAACAACAATTACTGCTTAATAACTTGGAGAGAAAAAGTTTCAAAGATAGAGGAAATGATTGGATTTTATACACCCTGGCCTTTAAAAAGTACCAATCACAGAATATGGGGCAACAAGAAGGTCGGATGAAGGAAGAGAGGGGAGACGATCAAGCATCTGGTGGGGAAGGGGCGGGATGGTAAAGGGATTTCTGAGGAAACTGGAGGAATCTCCAGGACAGGGATTGACCACCAGGGGGTGCTGACACAAAGCTTTCAGAACTTACTGTTGGTGGTGTCTGCTGTCACAGGGGCTGGAGTGGACAAAAGTTATGTACAATCACTGAATTATTGGTGCTGTGTTGTTTATCTAACCCTGTCAATAATTCACTACTAGAATGTGGAAATAAAAGCACCCTTAGACAAAGAAAAGTGATTATCAGAAAGCCAGGGTACCCGATGACGGAGTTCCTCTCACGGTGTGTGATGTAGATGTCATCGGTGAACAGGATGGTGTGGTAGGGCACCTCCGGGTCACAGGTGGGTAGGATGCCTCTTGCTACATGACTCACAATGTCCAAGACGCCATTATACACCAAGAGGTCATCCACCAGCAGCTACACACACACACACACACACACACACACACACACACACCAGATAAAGATCCCACACAGGGTCTGCCACACCCTTCTCCAGACACCAAGGCTCACCCCAAACTCCTTCACTCCTCTCTGCGGTGTCTTGGAGTAGTTCCACAGTTTGATCATGGAGACGGTCACTGGCTGGTCAAAGATGACGTACACATGATTCACCTACATCATAACAAAAAACGAGATAAGCTCTCAGCATTTAGATCTGAACCTGCCCACTGGCTTCCTCACCGTTCCAGGCAGGACCGGGGCCAGCCACATGTGTCGGCCATCGTAGGTGTCACTGACCCCATCTATTAGTTTATCAGGAGTCCTTACGTCACCACTCACATTGTCCAAAACGTTGACGCTGTCTGGGAAAGCAGCAATGTCTGATGGGAATTATGTTGAGGACAGATGAGATCTCATTACAGAATGTGGCTAAATACGTTAAACGGGAGTTCTGATTCAGGGTCACTGTACTTCTGAAAGGATACTGTTGTCGGTGAGACTGATCTTGTCGTGGTTCTGGTCATAAAACTCCAGGCCGTTCAGCCCAATGTAGTATGGGTCTCCCCAGGTTGTTAACAGCTGCAGCTGAAAGATGACTGTGGGGGTTTTAGTTAAAGAACAAGCAACAAGATGCACTTTTCGCCTGTTAAGCCACCAGCAGGACAAAAGAGCAGAGAACTGCTGGAGGGTTTGGGAAACGTTTTCACCGTTGGCCACAGAGGACAAAAAAAATCTTTTTCTCATTTCTGTGTAGGAAAGCTACAAAATGTTCTTCTCCAGTAAAGATAACATAAAAATAAACTTCATAACCACTTTATATTTATTCACCTGTGATTTAAACGATAACAGAAAACCCACTGAGGACGTCATCAGAATCATAATAAACCACATAAGAGGGTTTACTCCAACGACCCGTCCTTTCATGTTCTATAGATTTGTTTAATAGTCGAAAGGCTGCGCAAAATCACATTAATATTCATTTTATAGTGAAAAGGACAAAGGAAGCATGCACCCATTCATGTAGAAATGATTTCTTTTGTTATAACCTGGACACTCATCTACTCAGGGTATACGGCACACACCCCGGTAGCCGACCAAAGTGCTCCACTTGGGCCATACTCTGACTCACGTCCCGGGGCTGAGAACCACAACTAATGGTCATCCTTTTGACCTCCAGGGGGCACGGCACAGCCTCCCTAGTCCGACACAAGTGCTCCACTTGGGCTGTACTCTGACCCACGTCCCGGGGCTGAGAACCACAAATACTGGTCATCCTTTTGACCTCCAGGGTAGATACTACTACCTGGATACTCATCTAGCAGTTTTGGCTTGCTTTTAGCACCCTCTAGTGTTCATTTGTAGAACCGAAATCTCCTCGCTGAGCGTTGGTCTGTTTAAACCCCCCCAGAGACCCATGGTTGTAATATTACAACATCAGATTTAAGTCTACAAAAATAAACCTTCCCCATTTTTTTTCTTTTTAAAACCACATTTACATTGCTGATAGGTCCTATTGTTCAGTTCTGCAACACTATTGGCTGTTAAAATGTGTAAATAGGCCCATTTATCTGGCCTCCTAGAACAACATGTGAAAGGTTAAAAAAAGATTTTGCAGTTGTTTTCTAAATTTGGGTTTCTGGGGGTTAACACCTTCATCTAACAGCTGAAACGTCTCCCAGCCTTTCTTAATGTCTACAGGAGTGATTTTTGTAAGACCTTCTTCACCTCTCTCTCTTTATTCTGCTCTCCCCACCTATTCCACCTTCCTCAGGATCCACTGATTTCCCTCTTTCCTATTCACTCTCTCTCTTTCTTAACATTTTTTCTTTTAAATCGCAATTGCCTATTTTTGCTCATTTTAAATATATTTTTAAACATTTTCTAAAATGCTTTTTTATATTTTTACATTTTTTGTTTTTGTGAAGGGCCTTGTGATTTTTATCTTGAGAGGCGCTATAGAAATGATATTTTCTTCTTCTTCATCACTATATTAAACAAACCAGCTGTGTTAATGATCTAAAACATCCCACACTGCAGCGCCAGGTATGTCAGCTCCACTTTTTTCTAACTCCCAACAGCCCGGACCGGTGGACTATTCTGGCCACAGGGGGCAACAGAGGCTGGGTGGCCTTTCAGTAACCCTGTAAAGGGTCATTATAGCCCACACTGGCTCTAGAGCATGATTTAGAAATATGAAAAAACAGTTTTGCTAATTATAATTTAATTATAAGTTAGCATTTTTAGTGAACAAAAGCTTAAATTCTGATTACTTTAATCAAGATTGCAGCCTTCCATAGTATGTTAGACATATATCGGAGAAAGTTCTGAAACTTGGGTTGGACGTAGGAGTCTTATGAGAAGCAGGTCAAGTGTCTTCATGGAAAACCAGCGTAGTCCAGTTGTTCCAACCAAACCTTCAAGATTGCCGTGCCCTGGATGACTGAGAATCTACACAAACGTTAGAGATATTCTTCCTCAATAAATCCAACTGTAGAAAATTAGAGGTTTGTTTGAATCTACATTTAAAGTTTGCTGTTTGACCACAAAAGACCTCAAAGATTGTGCATCTGGGACGTGCTTGGACTCTTTTCTACACCCTGCAGCAAAAGAAACGTTTCACTGCTGAAGGAACAGCTGAAATGAAAATCCAGTGTCTCTACAAAGGTTAAAGGTGGAAACAGAATGGATGGTGATCTTATATAATACTTCAGGAGAGTCCAGAGCTCACAGGTGTCAACCTGAACGTGCTAAAAACCCAAACAGACAAAGAAGTTGACCGTGACTTATATGATACGCTGGTTTTCTGTGTGGGAAAGGATACAGCCACAAGGCATGATGGGAGCTTCATAGTCCATGCTGGCCTGCTCTTGCTTCTTACAGCTTCCTCTAAATGAGATCAAATGAATGTGAATCAGTGTTTACATGTTGACATCAAAGAGATTAAGTTTAGATCTGAACCTCTGGGAGTCTTGCTGGCTCTTATCGGGGGTCTGAAGGAAGTTGATGAAAAGGATCTCCTGGGCAAAGTCAAAGTGACAGTTTCCCAGGCCTTTCCGGATTAGGAATCCCTCCCTTGGGGAGACGGGGACGTTGTCTATGTACAAATGGAGGACTTTCACCTAAAGAGAACATTAAGATGTGTCCAGGTTCATGATGCGCAGAGAAAAGTCATGTTTGTGCTTTAAACACAGTGAGTCAGCTCACCCCTCTGTAGGAGTCCTCAGGTGACTTGTTGTAGTTCCAGACTCGGAGCCCAGCGATGGTTTGGGCTTTGCTGAAGGAAATGTTCAAGACATGAGCCTCTCCGTTGGAGAAAGGGATCATCCACATGTGGTGGTCATCGGTGGTTATGTTGTGGCCATCGATGAGTCTGAGTTATAAAAAACACACACCGATGATCCGACTTTGGACTAGTGAGCAGATCGGTCCCGTGAGATTTACGGTCATACTTATCCAGCGTGCGTAGGTCATCTTCATACTCCGGCAGGTCGTTCAGGTCCCTTGGTGAGGCGGTCATCATGCTGAGATCTAAAGGTAAACTCTCACCGTCCTTCCCCACCACCTCCAGTCCTGTCAGGCCCATGTAGTGGTGGTCTCCCCACGTCGTCACCAGCTCCAGCATAAGGCCTGGGACAGCGCGGGACAATCACAGCCACACAGGAACCACAGAGAGAGAGAGCTGGATGTGATCACGGGACAGTCTACTCACACTTTCCAGTGTACATCCCAGGAATGTGGTCCACGTTCTCCTCAGACTGGCTCACGGTGGGATTCAGCTGAAGCTTCAACTGAGACAACAAAAGAAGACAGAGAATGGAGTTTATAACACAGAGCTGAGCTTCATTAGTAAAATCTGATCTTTGTCAACTCAACCTTTTGTTTTCATGCATGTTCATATGTACTTACAGTGAGGTCTTCCTCTCTGAAGCCAGCCTGAGTGAAAGGTCTCTCCTCTCCCTCCCCATCAGCAGTACGAGGTCGCTGCAGCTCCTCTTCATAAACCAAGCTCTCAGGACTCTCCCCTTCGTTGAGGAACGTTTCATCGTAACAAGAAATTGCCTCCAGGATCTCATCATCAGTGGTGAAAAGGATGGTGTCCCCAAACTGTTCCAAACCTTTACAAGGCAGAAATGAGGGGGGGTGTTGCTCGTGGTTAAACAGAGAAAGAACATGCTAATTAGTGAAATGTCTCCGGACATGTACCTCCAGTCAGAGTTCCAGAGGCTTTAGCAATTTCTCCCCTGAAGATGCATCTTCCATCCAGCATCATCTCCACCTCTTTCACGCCGCGGAATGAGTGGATGCGTGACTTGTTGTAGTTCCAGACTCGAATCATGGCGATTTGCTGGGGAGCTCCAAAGTCCAGGAAGATGGCGTGGTTGCAGTTGGGGGTGAATGGCGCCAGCCAGAGGTGCATGTCGTCCTGAGTGCGGTTGACCCCGTCGATCAGGTTGGTGACCACGCGCGGATCCTTACCATAAGCTGAGAGAATGTTGATGTCAGGAGGGTCAGCGTAGATTTGCGCCGGCTGAAGAGGCTCTCCGCTGGAGCTGAACACCTCCAGCCCATTGAGACCTACATAATGTCTGTCCCCCCATGTGGATAAAATGTTGATGACCAGCCTCTGGCCCTGCGGCAAAACTGGGATCTCAAACTCGTCCTCCCGCTCCATGAACGAACCCTCCTCAGGGCCGTCAGCTAGCAGCCCCTGGGGGTTTAGGGAGGAAAGGGGACTTCTGGGTGTGGTGAAGGGGGTAGCTGGGAGTGTAGGGGGACCTCGGCCCTGTCGCTGAAGGAACTCATCAAAGATGTCTCTTTCAAAGCCCACATTGGAGACGCGTCCTCGCTGGCACAGGTTGAACTTGGTGAGAGAGTCCCAGGACTCCATCAGAGTGTGGTCCTGCTGGCTGTGGAGCTGGGCCCGAGCACTGCTCTGCCTCCTGCTGGAGTTCACCAAAGACACCGGCTCCCCTGGAGAATGCGCGCACGCGCGCATGCACGCACGCACGCACGCACACACACACACACACACACACACAAGTCATCTCCAGCCAGGATGCATGTGTAACACCAATAAACACATGCAAATGAGATGGAAGTATCAAAACGGAATACTGGAATTTTGCTGCAGAAACTGCAAAAAACAAAACTAAATACACAAAATGCAATAATACACAAATACATTTTAGAGTTAAAATACGTTTAAGAACGGGGCTGCTTTGTGGAGCAGATGGTAGCACTGCGCCTCGTGATTTTTATCTTGAGAGGCGCTATAGAAAAGATCTTCTCCACTGTTGCCTGGCAGGAAGAAGGCTGCAGGTTCAAATCCCTGCAGCTAACTTTCTGCATGGAATTAGTATGTTGTCCTCATTCATGAGTGCATCATGCTAGGGTAACTGGGTACTTAAAGGTATGTGTGTGTGTGTTTTTGTGTCTATGTGTCCCTCTGATGGACTGGAGACCTGTCCATGGTGTCCTCTGCCTCTTGCCTGATGACTGCTGGACATAGACACCATCTCGCTGAGAAACTAATGGGGAATTAGCGGTGTGAGTGAGAGAGCTACATTATTATACAGAAACAGAGCAGGAAGTAAACCCTCTCCCATCCTACCGATGCTTGTGGCGGCTGCAGCTTTGTGCGGCTGCTCCTCCGACTGTCTGGCACTGGCTGGTGGCTTTCTGAATGAGCTCCTACGCCCACTGATGGGCCTGTCTGGTTTCGGCTCTCCCAGTTCCCCCAGCAGGTCGCAGCCCAGGTCCAATGACTCATCCTTCCACTGACCTCCATTCATTGTCCTATCAACCCCCCTGCACACCCGTCCTGGGTTACAGGGCAGCTCTGAGAGCATGGAGGAGGAGGAAGCAGAAGGTGATGGTTTGGTTTCTGAGTGCTGCGGTACCAGCCAGCGGGGCTTTTCCCTGCTGGCCTCACAGCCCTCTGGAGCTCCTCTGCTCATGGGCTGAAGCCACTGGGGGGTGACCCGACAGGAGGAGGGCTGGGTGGTGACGGTCTGCTCCGCCTGCTGCCTGGGGGACTGAGGTTCGTCTGAAGCACAAAGGTCGAACGAGCTTCTCTGTGATGAGGGGCGACGAGCCGTACTGATGGGTGGTAGTGGTGTCAGGGACTTCTCCTGCATGTCTACCATATTCTGACCTGCTGGGTCTGATGAGCCTATCGAACTTTGGTAACTCTGCGTGCTACTGCCCTCTCCACCCTTCTTGTCCTCATTGTGATGAGGACTCGCACCCCGCAGATTGTGTCCCGAAGACACGGGGCTGGAAAACAAAGAGTCAGAGGAGCGGAAATCCTTCAGATCAACGGTGGTGCTGTAGTCAAAAACCTGGTTCCCACAGCCCTTCTCCAGCTCCCCTTCAAACACCAGAGTGCTGTTAAGGTACAGCTTTATATGGCGAGCTCCGATGTCAAGGTCCTGCCAAAACAAACATTTTTTATTTACACCTTTAACTCACTGACAGCTACACTCGTTACATGAGCATGCCAGGCTAATGGTAATTAGCATCATCACACACATTCGTTACGAATCTCTAAACCACAACTTCCCAGAATCTGCTTCCCAGCAGGAGTTTCTTACCTGGGTCACACGTGGGAAATATTTGTAAACTTTGGAAGAGACCAGACAGAAAATGTGGCGTTTGCTCCTTTCTATGAACAGCCGTTACGCTAAGAGACAGAAGCTCCTGCTACGCTAATCCTCCCAGGGTAATCTCTCAGTGCTCCACATTCAGACAAACTGACTGGCAGCTCAGGCAGCCACTGCTTAAAGAGAAGTGCCCCCCCGACTTCACCACAACAAATCCGTTTGTCTCGTTCTAGTAGATCGGCCCAAGCTGTGGCGTCCATCTGCCAGCGAGATGACGCCGTGATGTCTGATGTGTAGAGCAGATTGTGTTTCTTAAAAACTGTCATGGCATAAATAAAAACAAACAAAAAAATTGGACCAACCATTAAGCTTCTGTTGTAGTTCCAGATTTTAATACACGATATTCCAAAATCTGGAGAGTGCTCCGTGTTCCTGATGATGAAGTAGAGCTGGATGGGAGGGTGGAAGGGGCACGTCCACATGTGACGCTCTTTAGTGGTCTGTCGATGCAAGAAAAGAGACAAACAAAGACTGATTGAACTAAATCCAGTTAGTTTTTGCTGTGGCAGATTTCAGAGGCAGCAGAAACACACCTTCACATTTCCGTTCACCAGAGCCCCCAGGTTCCCCGGGTAGTCCACGTTCCTAATGTCCAGGTCATGAGGCGATACGTACAGCTTCTTGTTTCTGTGGCAGAAGAACTGCAGCTCAGTCAGCCCGACCTGCAGCGCATTTCCCCAGTTGGACAGAATCTCCATGGTAACGTACGAGGCCGGGGTGACCTCTGCTGACGACTGCCCTTTCTGCAAGTGCAACGTAAGACCATTTCACCAGAGTGACACCTAGAAGTCTCCGGGTTAATCAGGCTGACCTGCAGGCCAGTGCCGGGGACTCACTGGCTGCTTGCTGTTGTCCGTTTGGACGCTGGGAGGGATTTTGTGCCTAGGTCCAACTTCCAGTTCCACCAAGGCTTTCAGGAGTTTCTCCTGCTGCCTGGACAGAATGATGATACTTGAGATTAATGTTCTGAGCACCACAGCTGCTACTTCAGAGCATTCATCTTTAAGAATAAGCCTTTACTGTGTATTTTATCGCCTGCTGCTAAAAGGCAGGTAACGATGTTTCTGCCTGTGTCAGTTAATCTGACGAACCACAGGAACATTATCATCTTGGTTTAAAACTCTGTCACAAAAGATGGCAAGTGATGGTTCTTCAATTTCTTTATTTGGTGTTAGGCTTCATTTAATTTTATGACGAAAAGGATACAGATGTGTGGTTTCCCCCCACCACTGACTGCATATAGTGATTTTAGTGTCACTGCTTTAAGCATACCTGTGACCCATTAGCGTTATTCCCTGCATGGCCCGAGTGATGTTGTTCTCATCCTTTTTGTGTTGCTTAAGGCCATTTGTGGTCTGATGGCCCCAGACCTGGAAGGACAGAAACCAGTAAAATCACACAGAAGCCAAATCAAGCATGATGTCAAAGCTGAAGCCTAGAGAAAACAGTGTGTGTGTGTGTGTGTGTGTGTGTGTGTGTGTGTGTGTGTGTGTGTGTGTGTGTGTGTGTGTGTGTGTGTGTGTGTGTGTGTGTGTGTGTGTGTAGATCTAAAGTCACTATTGAAGGAGCAATAGATCAACAGAAGGTTCAAACTCAGTAAAAACCAAATCATGTCCGATTCTACGGATCTGTTCTGTGAGGTACCCCAAGGCTCTGTTTTGGGGTACCCTGTTTTTAAACATATACCCTCTTAGACAGAAAATTAAGTCATTTCATAATTTCTCCCACTACCAACGCTGGTCCAAAACGGTTCTAATCACGTGAGAAACGTTTCCAAACTGTGATGGTTGGTGTCAAAACATGAACTTGAAATGGTTATCCATGCCTTTATCTCCTCCTGTCTAGATTACTGTAACACACTTTTCACGTTTTAACAAAAAAGCCCTTGACCGCCTTCAGTTGGTCCAGAACTCTGCAGCGAGGCTCCAAACTGGTGCAAACATCACTCCCATTCTAATGTCTCTGCACTGGTTACCCGTTAACTTTAGAGTTCATTTTAGAATCCTGACAAGAACTTTCAATGCTCCTCCCTATATTACTGAACATTTAAAGCCTTATGTTTGAATTTTGATGTAATTTTCATTGTGACGCACCTTTTTCTTTCTGTAATAGGTGCTATAAAACTTTACCTACTTATCAAACACCTGCAAATGGTGAAGTTAAAGCATTGGCTGCTAGCTAAACGAGGAAACGGGAATAATCAGGAGGCAGAGCGTGCTGCGGCTCACGAGATCAGGGCTCTTCACTGGGGTGTTCTCTCTCTGTATGGCTTGGCACACACTGAACGCCACCTCTTCAGGGTCTCGCTCATCAACAGAAGTCTTTCTGGATGACGAAACGAGCCTTTCCGTGCGACTCCACGGCCCTTAAACAAAAATAACAAAAAACCTGTTATATGAAGCAAAAACTGTACATTTACCTTTTTATAACAGGATTGTAAAAGAAGACCTATTCAGACCTGGAAAATCAGAATCGGGAAGAATAATCTCTTTAATTTAAGCATAAAGAGACACTTTAAAAGGTGAAATGACTCACTCTGATCATCCCAGCTGTCTTTAGAAGGAGGCCTATCTAATGTTTTGCTCTTGACCAACAGAGGCTTAGTGGGTATGAAGGGGTCAACACTTTCATTCCTCTTGGCAGACAGAGAACGTTCAAGTTTACGACCTGCAGCAGATAGAGGACGCGTTCGCTAATAAAACCAGACATTAGACCTATAGCTGTCGAACAGCTGGTATGATTGCTTAGTTTAGTCAATGTTGAGGAGAAGATCCTTAAAGACTACCTTTAGGTGAGGGGCCAAAGTCCAGAACAATGAGGTTTGCGGAGTCAAAATGGCCGTGACTCCCGCCTGTCCGAGAATGAGTGGAGGACTTGGAGGAGGAAAGAGGCAGCCCAAGTTCATCCAGACTCTCGGTGCTCTCATCCCTCTCAATCTGCTCCTCTACCCACTCCTCGTCGGACTCCTCCCCTGCTGAGCCGCTGCTGCTCCGTCGCATGCTAACCTCCAGGCTCCGACGCAACACCTAGCATACAAAGAGACAGTTTTTATTCATGCATCAGTGCTCACACAGGCGCAAATACACAAGAGAGGGGACATGAGTGTAGGGATTTCCCTGACCTCTGTGAGTAGATCTGAAATCATCACTTAACACCAGGCAGCATCACAGTAACATGTGAAACTCACCAAATCTTAAGGTCATGGGTGGTTTTCCTCTCACCTTCACTTCCTCGAGGTTGAGGAGCACCTTCTCGCTGTGCTCCTGGTTGCCCTGGTCTTCCTGGCACTCAGCTCTGGAGCTGAAGGAGCGAGAAACCCTGCAGGCGTCTCTTTGACTCCGAGGACTACATGGCGAGCGCAGACTAGAGCGCTGTAGCAAACATGGAGAAAGAGAAATAAGGAAAGGGGAGAGACAGAGAGGTGTTAGGAGAGTTGCGTGTGACACACAGCTCCTCCCCTAAAACGACAAAACCCACACACAGTGTCTTGGCAGGAATTGTCACTCTACCTCCATGTTCACACTTTCATAAGCCTCAAAATCGTCAGAGTAGCACGTCGCTGGAGATATTTCCAAACTTGGGCCATGCTCGGTTTGAATTTTAACACAACCCTGCACACATCAGATAAGAAGATATTGTTACTACATGCACTTATATGTATTTTTATATAAAACAACAAATTAAGACATCAAAGCTCTTTACCTGCACCCATTCTTTCCTCTGGACCTTTGCTGGAGCAGTCTGGCTCCTCTTCCTGCCCGACTGATCCGGATTACGGCTATCTTCAGTTAGATGGTGGGCGCTTATCCAGAAATCTGAGGATGAGTCACAGCACAGAAAGGAACATGAGCAACTCGCTGCAGACTATAGCCTCAGAGGAGAGAAAACACTAAACTCGTACATGCAGATGGTCCACAGCACATAAAGGAAGCACCAGAAGAAAGCTGGCAGCTACAACTGTCACTATTGTTTAATCACTGAGACCGGGCATGGACTCACACAAAACAAGCAGCAGAGCGGTGGCAATTAGCTCATGCTCCATATGCTTTACACACGACAGAGGGACCTGCAGCTTTTAGCACAATCCCAAAGCACAAGCTCATAAATAACTAATGAAAGTATAATCAAGGTCTTACATAGGAGCAAACATTTACACTCGCCTAGCTGCATACCGGCTGTGCGTGCAGGCCTCCCGGCTGGCTGAGGGGCCTCTGGCTTGTTTTTGGGGTTCTTGAGCTGCTTCCTACTGGACTCAGCATTAGCGCCGTTCAGATAAATTGAGAAGCCTTGCTCCAGCTGCTCCAATTCGATCTCTCTTGGATTTTTCACTCTGAGGCGCTTTAGGATTCTGCAAAGCATAAATGAAAATGTAAATAAATAATGCTATATGCTGTATCTGATGAAGAAAAGTCTAAAAATGTTTTCGCTAAATTCAACCAAACATTTTCAAATGTATGCTTTTACTATTTTAAATAAAAACGTGTTTTTCCTCTAAACAAAAGCACCAAACTAAACAGAGCTTCAAACTGTTAGAAAACAAAACTGTGATGCATTTCCTCTGTGAAATCCAATCAGTCCATCTGCAGCAGCCTGTGCTCACACACACGTCACCTGTTTTTGTGCTGGAGGTCAATTAAATATTCATCCAGAGTGTCATCTCCGGCAGAGGCAGGCTTCTCTCCTCGGTACGTCTCACTCTCCTTCACACGCGCGCGCGCACACACACACACACACACACACACACACACACACACACACACACACACACACACACACACACACACACACACACACACACACACACACACACACACACACACACACACACACACACACACACACACACACACACACACACACACACACACACACACACACACACACACACACACACACACACACACACAGAGTCAGGAAAGCATAGAGGAAAGAAACTTCCTAATGAACACACAAATGTATTTACAACCTATACCAACATAATTCTACGCACCACAACATTCATGCATGCAAAATGCTCCTCTAGATGTGTAAACAAAGCTTCAGTTAAAGTTATGTAAAGTGACAAGTTGTCACGTTTGTTAGAAATATCACAAAATCTATGTATGAATGAAAAAAAATTAAATAAATCCAAGCCACAACTGCTTTTTCTCAACCATCAATACTTGTTTATTTTTCAACTGAGCCTTTTTGTTGTAATATAGCCCTGTTATGTGCTACTTAGGTTAAGCAGTGACTGTGCAGTAATTTGAACTACAACTTCTGTTTCCTGCAGTAATTTATCTCTAGATAGACAAATGTGGTCTTTGTGATTTGACTCCAAACCAGAAAAGTGTTGGTGCAGCTTCGCAACTAAATCCATAAAATGATTGTTGACAAATGTCAGAATGAAAATCATGTGTGTTTATGTGTACATCAACACACCTAAACTAAGGTAACCAGATTGTGTAATCATTTAGATGAACTTGATGTATCATTATGCAATTTGCATACAATGCTAAATTAAAATAATCATCAGTCATTATCCCTCCAGATGCATCTGAGCGTACAAAACACAAGCCTCTTTAAAAGGAGCATCAGTCGTCTGTACAATGCAGCCACTCGTGCAGTTCCATTACTTTCAGTACAGGTGAAACTCGAAAAATTTAGAATATAGTGCAAATGTTCATTTATGCTTTAAAGGTGAAGTGAGGTGGACTCATTATGTGCAAAGCCAGACATTTCACACCTTTATTTGTTATAACTGTGATGATAATGGATTACAGCTGATGAAAACCCTACATTCAAAATCTCAGACAATTAGAATATTGTGAAAAGGTTCAATAAAGTGCCACACTCTAATCAGATGATCAATCCAAAACACGTGCAAAGGGTTCCTGAGCCTTTACATGGTCTCTCAGTCTAAAGCAAAATACTAAAATAAATTAATTTTGCACCATATTCTTGTTTTAGAGTTTCATCTGTATTCATGCGTGACAAATAAATAAAAAGAAATTACAAAGCTCTTACTGAAGTATTTACAAGTCAACTAGGATGTCAGTTTCAGGAGCAGAGAAGAGAGAAAGATGTGAAGAAGCAGGAAAATGCTGGTTAGTGATAGATCCCTGAGACACATCATGTGGAATCACTTAATCCTTTCAATAGTGGATTTTATGGAATGAGGTATGACATGAAAAGCACTGCTGACAGAGGCCGTTACATGAAACTCATCTCTTACTTTTTTCTCCATGGCGTGCTGCAGGGACTCATCTGAAAACACTATCCCATCTTTTGAAGAGAGATTATGTGACTCCCAGTTGAGTTTGATCCTCTCTGCAGCATGACACACAAACGCAGCTTCAAGATTGCTTGACACATCTTAAAGGACTTGTTTAATTTCGCCACACCCGACAAAAACATCGCAGCACCAGGTTGTGATTACATGACATCATCTCGTGTAGCACATCTGTTCAAGGTTTTTCCACAAACCCCCATTTGTTAGCAAGTGCACCTTTAAACATCAGAATCAGAAGGGTTTTATTGTCATATGTGCGAGAATCACAAAGAAATTAGGTGCTACTTGGTGGAAGAAAAGATAAATGACGAGCAAACATTTGAATTACGAAATAAACCCAGTGAACATACGTGCAGTTAGCGTAAGACAGCGCCTGGCATTTGATTTTGTCATTAAAAGCTAGCACGTTGATCGCTGGAGATGGGCCGATGGGCTTTTTCTTTATCGTGTCCTTTTTCCTTCTTTAAACCCGCAAAGTGTTGCTAGAGGCTAATCTAGCTCGCGTTGTAGCCAATGCAACATTAGCAACCTCGCGCTAAAGCTAACAACAAACCGATACGCTAATGAGTTAGCATGCATCCGTTTTACGTGACTAGATGTTTACATATGTAATGAAAAATAGTGACGTTACTCATATGTACATTTTTTCACAAATTACAAGACATACTTACAGTACTCCTAAAGAGTTGCATTATTAGTGTGTAAAAAAAATCGTATTTACCGATGGATTTACCCAATGTTGGAGGATTTCCTCCTGTGAGTTGTGTTGCTCGGTAACCAGGGGAGCTCTCCACCAATCAGGAGAGCTGAGGCAGCGAAGGACACGCCCCATCCGGACATACCTATGCCCTCTAACTCACCATTCAATTAAAAAAAAAAAAGGTGCGAAAAATACAATAAAGGCACACAGGTTTCCATGGCAAAAAAAATCAACACTGTTTTTATTTATTATAAATCAGTACATTTCTTATAAAAACAAAATAAAAGGGGATGAAATAAAACCATTTTAGATGTTTAATTAGATAGTGGCCACCCACTTCCATTCAACCCAAGTCACAGTCTGTTGACTAACCAGCAGGACTAACTAGCTCATTCCAAAACACCCTTGCTTATAATGATCAATCTACAATTTGGATACGCTTCAAATGGTAATATTGTGGTTAACAACAATCTCGGCAAAGCATTCCAAGTACAGCAAATTAGCATGCCATTAGTTTCTGTGCAATTCATTGCAACCATTGCCAGCAGCAGTACTTGCATTATTTGTGACGTGTGCACACATATTTTGAGTGTCTAGCAGTCGAAGGACGTAAAGACTAAAACTCCTGCAGTACAACAAAAGCTCTGTGAGGTGCCCAGGCTTAATGCAGTTTAGGCATCCCTCTGTAACAATTACCCAAATTTTTGATACAAAATTCCATTATTAAAATGAACGAGGCAGCTGAGAAAAGCCAACCTCATTCAGTTGCATACATTAAAACTGTTTGTTGAAAGAAGGCGGACATGAAAATGGTAGATGTTGCGGGAGCAACACATTCTCACACCCAAGGCGTCATAATATGACGTGTGTGACCAAGTCTCAATATATGACGATTCGGGACGCCCCAGTGCGTCAGGAGACGACGATCAGGGACACGCTGGGTCACGTGGCTCCGCTGGCGTCACTGTTTGACGCGCGCTGTCACACGGACGTTATTCGACTATTTAACCTTCCCGTCACCCCGATCCTAATCTTAAGGCCCATAAACTGTGACCTTAAGGTTAGGACTGGGGTGAGGGGAAGGTTAAGTAGTTCACAAGTACTTCTAATGTCCGTCTCACCACCGGCGTCGGACACCGACGCTCTGGGACGCTGCGTCAGTTGTTTGTCCCTGATCATAGTCTCCTGACATGCTGGGGCGTCCCGAATCGTCATATATTGAGGCTTGGTCACACGCGTCGTATTTTGACGCCTTGGGTGTGAGAATGTGTTGGCGGGTCATGGGAAAGCACAGAAGCTGCTCACTGTTCAGGTAGCACTCAAAAGTCAAAGAACACTGAATACTGGAGACAAGAACAACCAACTGGGATTTAAAAGTACTCAAACTGATAAAAGTATGCCAAAGTAACTGTAATTTGTATTTTTTTAAATGCCCCTATGACTGAATTATAATGTCCTTTTCCTACTATCTGTGGGCCAATCATGATAAACTCACCCTTGCTACACGGACACATAAAACCATCCACTCACTGATTCACCATCTCATTTTTGTCACTTTGAATTGATTTTAAAAAGGTAGTTAAGACATGATTTCCCTTCTTCATTAGAAACGACCCCCTTGAACAAATTATATCTACCATGTTTCAAGATTAAATCTGCTCACGGCTTTCTGCTGCCCATTCACTGAGCTAACTCTGATGGGTTGTGGTAGGTAGGTGTATGTATGTATGTATATATATATATATATATATATATATATATATATATAAACATCAACCACATTCTTAAAACGCAATGGATGGGGGAAAAGTAAACCAATAACTTAAATAGAAGTGCTTAAAACAACAGTTCATAGAGCCCTTTCAACAAAATAAAGCATAGCAGTAATCCCATCCCAACATACCAGGAGAGATAACTGAATAACTGAAATGATAATACTAATATTCATCCAATGATTCCCACATGTACAGTTCACATATAGAGCATATCCTCTCCCCCGAGAGCAAATATGGTTTCTGGTCAGTGCCCCCCCCATGTCTGTGAGCCACGGCTCCCCTCAGTTTCAAGTCTATCTGTGGTAGGAGGACAATCCGTCTCCGTACACCTCCCTCCTTCTTCCTCCTTTGCCTTCAGTGCCTGCTCCTCCTCTCTTTTCCTGCGCTCCAACTCCCACTCCACAAAAGTGTCAAAGAGGCTGGGCCAGGCCTCGTCCTCACTGTAGTTGCTGAGGTCAGACCCAATGGCCTGGGTGAAGTTGAGGAACATGTTCCACGTGTCCCTGGAGATGCCCCGAATACCGGAGGGGTTCTCGGCTAGAAACTCCAGCCAGCGTTCCAGAATCTCCGGAGTGTCTTGTGTGAAAACCAGTCGCCATAGTGCGATGGCAATTTCCCGCTGAAGCGACCGTTGGCCCTCTTCGGCGTCCAGACCGAACTGGAAGGTGAAACGGTAAAGGTCCTTGAAGTTCTCTTCAACCTGGGCTTCCAGCAGCATGTAAGTGAAGCGTGAGCAGATGCCCTCAATACTGTCCGCCCTGATGGCCTTGCAGCCCTCAACAAACTCTTTCCTGATGACATAAAAACAGGATCAGATGTCACAATGGGTATTCAGAATTACAGTAAAATGTCATTTACAGCAGTTCTGTGAGATCTGCAAAACCAAACTTGCCCAGTGGTGTTTAAAAATATCAAGTAGATGAGCTTATCTGCTCAACTTCAACAGCGGTCTGGGATTTTCAACATCAAGTGTCATACAAAATGCTTACGCCAGCATTGCTTAACAATGAAACATATGTTGCATTGTCCAAACACTTCGGAGTGAAAAGTGCAGAGTTTAAAATCAAAGAGAGTGGGGGGGAGCAGAAACAAATGACTCAGCCACAAACGGAGCGCTATTCAGTGACAGCAGGCAGAATGGGGCTCTGGAGCAGGACACACTTCCTGTATGACCTGACTGTGGGGTTTTGTGTGTACGGCTAGCTTTCTATGAACAAGTTAGCAAACATTTAAGATTAGAGGGAACGATAAACTGGTTCTCACGCAGATCCAAAGGGCAGTGTGTGGAAAGACTTGATTTTAGAGTTATGGGAAAACAATTTTTGGATAAGAGGAGTGGCCAAAGGTTTTGTTGCTGTGCAAGTACCGAGGTGTGTTTAACCTACGGTGTTTTTCCATTGTCGGAACTTCAGGGTAAATTCTGGGAGGGGGAAACTGACCGGGAGATAAGATGTCCCGGTCCTCCCAGGTGTTGTGTCTCCATGCAGATTTAGCTCTTTCAGGACTTTGCACAGGCGTCAGCATATCGCAACTTATTTTGCAGTCAGTGATGTCATTGATCAGCTCCAAAAAGCATCCTCAGTAACATTAAAAGTTTTACTCTGTCAAAGTACAACCTAATTTAATCCATTCAGAGGATGAGAGCAGCTGCGTGAGGTAAAAAACAGAAGAAGCTTGGTTTTTTTACGCTGCGATGCGAGACAAAAAAGCCCAGTGAACTATATCATCAGTCGGAGCTTCTTTTCTTTTGCTTCCATTCTGCTTCACAAGCAGCTCTTCTAATCTTACTAATGCCAGTTGTTTTGGACGACGTCTGATGATGTAATTTCCTACAGAGTTACAACCAATCAGTGTGAGTTGACGAAGGAGGGGTGCCCAATCCTGGTCCTGGAGGGCCGGTATCCTGCAGGTTTTGGTTTTAACTCTGCTTCAGCACACCTGATTTCAATCTGCAGGTAATTAACAGGCTTCTACAGAGCTTGATGAGCTGCTGCACAGGTGATTCAACCTCTGAATCAAGTGTTTTGGAGCAGAAAAACAACAAAACCTGCTGGATACTGGCCCTCCGGGACCAGGATTTAGCACCCCTGCTCTAGCGGGCCCTTCCGAGTACCTACCCCTGTTTATTTAATCTGTTGGTTATTTGTTTGTTGAAAATTATCCATAAAATGGCCGTTTGGCTGGCCGGCCCGGTGAAACGGAGACAAGCACATGCTGTTGAGTTACGGTAAAATTACCCCGAAGCTCCGGTAGTGGAAATACGCTTCAAAATTTTAATTTGGTGGTGAAAAAGTGAAAGTAAATCCAAGTGCAACAACAGATTTGGTGCAACCCCATCCCTTCCAAAACCCTGTTGTACCTTGTGAACTTGCACATAGTAGCTGCTTGAAACTTCCAGGCGAGAACAAGAACACGGAACTCTGCGGGGTCCACACACAGATCGTTACAAAACTTTTCCATGCCCTCCTCCAGGATGGCATCTTCCTGTTCATCCTTGTAGCGTCCGAAAAGCTCCTCGATACGCAGCATGGACAGCCCGTCTTTATCCAGACATTCGTCCTTGCACGGATCCCTCATCACTGTGGAGATGATGGTCGTCTCCGCAGTAGCCTCTAAGGCTTTGGTGCCATTCAATTGTTCACTGGATTTGCAAGATGGGGCACTGGAATCTTCCTTGTGACTGCCCCCACTAGCACTTTCAACTCTCTTGTGGGACTTCGAGCTGCTCTCTTTGTCTCCACTCTTGCTGCCGAGCGAGGACGTCGGATTCTTACACTTGGTGACACACTGGCCCATGTCTTCCCTCCTGGTCCCCCGTCTGGCTTTCCTCCTCACCTTCAGTCCCCGTCCGAACCACCTAGGCGCCTCTGCTCTGGCCTGGCAAGATGTCTCAACATACCCTCAGGCCTACAGGGAGAACACATTTGTTGTTTAGTGCTATATTACAGAGTGCAGCTCAAACAGAAAATGCAATTATTCAGAAAAAATTAAATCAAGTTAAGCTTACCTGTGCCAGATCTGTCAGGTACCAAACGTCAGGGGGCAAATTTAAAACCTCTAAAGTACAAGAACCACACATTACTAAAGTCTTAAGGCAGAACACCAACAACAACATCAACGACTGACCAGAGACACTGATGGGGAGAGAGAGACACATGGGCGAGGCAAGACAAGCCAGCTTTATTTATGTAGCACATTTCCTACACAGGCAATTCACAGTGCTTCCCAGATGCAAGCGAAAAGAAAAAACAAGCTTTAAAATCAAAATTTTCACATAAAATTAGATTTAACAAAAGAAAAGACAAAGTTAAAAGACAGATCAGTTACAGTGCTGAAGGTGCAACATAAGATGAGATCACTGCAGAGCACCGGGCTAAAGACCAAGGGTGGCAGGTCATTTGCTGCTGTGGCCCCCCAGTCTCTAGAACTCTCTATCCCTGAGTACTACTAGCACCGCTTGGGCGGTATGAAAGTAATTGTGGATTTTTTATCTCCACAAGCCTGGAGGAGCTTCTGCCATGAGATGGTGCTGCTAATGCTAGCAGCTAGCTTAAACTAGCCGAGGCATTCTCTGCCGTTTGCTGGAAAGTAAAACACCAACGGCCTTCCTTGTCGTGAGTCAACATCGGTGAGTCCATGAACGCTAATTCACAGTGTGACGTAGATCTGTCAGGTTTTTAAATCCTCAATTTCCACCCTCTATTTTCTGTCAGAAGCTAATGCAGGAGAGGTGTAGGAGACTATTTTCATGTCCAGCCTGCATGAAAAACTCAGACTCATGGATTAGAATCAGTCAACCATACCTTGAAGTGGCTTCTAGGGATGGACAATATATCAGCATCAATATCAGTATTGGCCGATGTTAGTCATTTTTAACATATCGGTATCAGTCCGATAAATAAAAATGGGCCGATATTAACAACCAATATTATTTCCCATCTTGTCTCCTTTTGTTTGCCTGTTTCAGAGGGTGATGTGTGTTTTAGTCATGTGAACAGTGATTGTAATCATCTCAGAAGCGTAAATGTGTGTGCTGTGTGTACATAATAATGTAAATTCAGCTTTAATAATTTCATTTTATTCAAAATTACTGATTTTAGAATCATTGATGTCAGTATATCGGTCATCGGCCTAAATAGTGATCTTAATATCAGATATCGGTATCGGCCCTAAAATTTCATATCGGTGCATCACTAGTGGCTTCCACTCATATCAAAGATCTTGGGGAAAAATAAACCCACAGATACGCATCTAACCTTTTTCTATTGTACCGATTAACAACAGCTCAGCATCTTCGTTCTGAGCTACCTTGGTTCTGCTTCACATCTAGTTTTATATAAACACGAGTTATAAAAATCAGTTTCAACACTGGAGGGACATTTCCCCATAACTGCTTCCAATGAAAAAGACTTGTGACTTAACTACAGGTCTTATTAATGTCTTGTTCCTATCCGCTACTAAATTTAGTGGCTTTTCAAGATGAGCTTTTCTTTGCACCACATACATAAACAGTTTATTGACTGCCACTCGTCCTCTGCTTCATCCGAATGTCAGCATTTCTTGATGAATCTAAACAGGATCAAGTATCAACTGCAGAATTATTAAACAACGGGAATGATTAAGATATATAAAGGTCCTTCTCAAAAAATTTGCATTTGTGATAAAGTTCATAATTTTCTGTAATGTACTGATAAACATTAGACTTTCATATATATTAGATTCATTACACACAGTTGAAGTAGTTCAAGCCTTTTATTGTTTCTAATATTGATGATGTTGGCGTACAGCTCATGAAAACCCAAAATTCCTATCTCAAAAAATTTGCATATTATGAAAAGGTTCTCTAAACAAGCTATTAACCTAATCATCTGAATCAACTAATTAACTCTAAACACCTGCAAAAGATTCCTGAGGCTTTTAAAAACTCCCAGCCTGGTTCATTACTCAAAACCGCAATCATGGGTAAGACTGCCGACCTGACTGCTGTCCAGAAGGCCATCATTGACACCCTCAAGCAAGAGGGTAAGACACAGAAAGAAATTTCTGGACGAATAGGCCATTCCCAGAGTGCTGTATCAAGGCACCTCAGTGGGAAGTCTGTGGGAAGGAAAAAGTGTGGCAGAAAACACCGCACAACGAGAAGAGGTGACCGGACCCCGAGGAAGATTGTGGAGAAAGACCGATTCCAGACCTTGGGAGACCTGCGGAAGCAGTGGACTGAGTCCGGAGTAGAAACATCCAGAGCCAACGTGTACAGGCGTGTGCAGGAAATGGGCTACAGGTACCACATTCCCCAGGTCAAGCCACTTTTGAACCAGAAACAGCAGCAGAGGCGCCTGACTACAGAGAAGCAGCACTGGACTGTTGCACAGTGGTCCAAACTACTTTTTTCGGATGAAAGCTAATTTTGCATGTCATTCGAAAATCAAGGTGCCAGAGTCTGGAGTAAGACTGGGCAGAGGGAAATGCCAAAATACCTGAAGTCCAGTGTCAAGTACCCACAGTCAGTGATGGTCTGGGGTGCCATGTCAGCTGCTGGTGTTGGTCCACTGTGTTTTATCAAGGGCAGGGTCAATGCAGCTAGCTATCAGGAGATTTTGGAGCACTTCATGCTTCCATCTGCTGAAAAGCTTTATGGAGATGAAGATTTCATTTTTCACCACGACCTGGCACCTGCTCACAGTGCCAAAACCACTATGTTTACTGACCATGGTATTACTGTGCTCATTGACCTGCCAACTCTCCTGACCTGAACCCCGTAGAGAATCTGTGGGATATTGTGAGGAGAAAGTTGAGAGAAGCAAGACCCAACACTCTGGATGAGCTTAAGGCTGCTATCGAATCATCCTGGGCCTCCATAAAGCTTGGTTTATGCTTGACGCATTCACTTTCTGCGCGGTGATGCGGCTCGCGGCTGGAACGTGCTTCACAACTCGCAGTGTTTATGGTTTGTGCGGCTCGTCTCTGCGGTGAGACAATATTCTCCCATACTGAACGGGGCAGCATGGAGCTCTACAGCATGCATCCAACACTACACCATAGTAGAAGTAGAAATCACTGTTTACAACATGGCATTTCAGCATTTTTAACAGCGTCCTCGTCTTTTCCGACAGTGCGAGCTATTTCTCTCCAAGAATTATTAACAACATGTTGATCATGGTGATCTTTGAGAGCTGAATCATACAAATGTCTGTATTTACCAACCTCTGCCGTACTAGTTCTTGCCGGTCCGCCATGTTTTTCCGCGTCCGACCGTCCGCGTGGTTAGAAATTTTCCGAGGTGCGCGTTGCGGAAATTCTGGGCCGTGCGGAGGCGCGGTGGAGGGGCGTGGTTGTTAAAATGACGCAAAATGACGCAACTTTTCCGTGCGGACCTCGCGGACGCGTCAAGCATAAACCAACCTTAACAGGTGCCACGCCGCATTGAAGCAGTCATTTCTGCAAAAGGATTCCCGACCAAGTATTGAGTGCATAACTGAACATAATTATTTGAAGGTTGACTTTTTTGTATTAAAAACACTTTTCTTTTATTGGTCGGATGAAAAATGCTAATTTCTTTGAGATAGGAATTTTGGGTTTTCATGAGCTGTACGCCAAAATCATCAATATTAGAAACATTAAAAGGCTTGAACTACTTCAGTTGTGTGTAATGAATCTAATATATATATGAAAGTCTAATGTTTATCAGTACATCACAGAAAATAATGAACTTTATCACAATATGCTAATTTTTTGAGAAGGACCTATATATAATGAGCCAGAATTGTTACAGTCTCTTGTAACACACAGGGCTTGTCTTCAGCTCCTGCAGGGTGGGTGTTAAAGAGAGCAGAGTAAAAATCTGTGTTATGAGGGATATGAATGATGTACAGATCAATTTCATTCCATCCACCCACACAGCTTTGTAGGTGATGTCTCATCAGACTGTGTGCAGTCCGTGAATGTAGGTAGTTACTGTTTAAGCTAGTTGAACAAGCTAATTACTTGGGTCATATCCCTTGAAGCCATGTCAGCATTTTGTGTAATCCTTTGACTGATGTGATGATGGGAGCCAACAGAAAAGTGTTTCTACAGTTTACATTTAGGTTAGAGCTAAACCTGATGCCTCATGTCTTGTTGTTGCTGAGATTATTGTTGCAGCATGTGAAAATAATGAGGGAAGTGCTTTAGAAATATGTCGCTAATGAAGTCTGGGATCGTTTAAAACAAACCTGCTTTTTCATAAAGGGAGAGTTTCCAAAGCCCTGTTTGTTGCATGTTTTGATTGTTTAACTAACTTTTATCAGTAAAACTCTAAAAAATTGATACGTAACTTTGCACCCAGACACAACAAATCCTGTGATCATTTTTTTAAAATCAGAAAGACATTCCATTAACATTTTTCAGACTGAATGCTCAACAATGCTTCATATATTTTATATTCTCATAGATGTGGTTGTAATTCATGAGTAAAACCAGATCAATCACTTTTTGTTTTTACTTGCAAACATCAATTTGGTAGTTTGTTTAATCTGTAAATGCATCATTTTCTTTCCACTAACCTAATTACTAAAACAGACATGGTTACCACACACACACACACACACACACATGATGTGATGACTTCATGCATTATATCATAAAAGAGCAGCTGATGACAATTTCACTTACAGACACTCCGTCAGATGGCATTGTCTTTCAGTTCTGCTCCATCATTGTGACCTTGAGATCAGCAACGCTGCAAAGACACATTATATTGTCATCATAAGCAGAAAGCAATAGCTCTTCATTCCCAAATCTGCAGGGACTATTTTTGTCAATACAAAGAGAAAGTCAAAACTCTCCTCTTGCAAAATAATTATTGGACAGTTTTAAAATACCCTAAAATGACAGTTAGAAGTCATTGTGCAATATTTACACAGTGGGGTAATCTTTCTGTGTCTCCACTTGAAGGGTTTCTGTACAACTCTTTGCTTCCACAAAGAAAGAGTCTCACATGTTATAATGAAACATAATTCACAATGCTTAATGCAAAATACACAGCTTTGATTTTTAAACCCAAACTCAACTCTGTTCAGATCATTGATAAAGTCACTAGTCATACATTAATAAGAAGAGTCAGGCTTCAGGGGCAAATTGCCAGTACAGATCAATGTCCTGGACATGTAGAGGCACGTCTCCCACACTTCTAACTTGGCCAACTTCAAGTCTCTGACATCAGATGGATGTCTAAAGGCCCCCTTTTCCACAATAAACAGGCATCACCGTGTAACACATCCAGACGTCAATTTAACTGGATTAGCTGGTCTTAAAAACTGTCCGAGGCGAAGAGCAGCCCAGATATTAAATTGTAATATCTGCAGCTATGTTGTCACCGAGCACGAGCTGCTGGGTTTAAAAACACACATCTGATAACGATGATCTGAATAAGTTATGCTTGTTGGAGACAGACAAGCTCTTGATCAGGATCAAGGGAGCTTAACAGCACATGTACAGCACTTCCAAATGAAATGTAAACACTGATTCAGTTTCTGTTTAATAGTCCGCTTAAACTGCTTAAAGTAGTCGGGCAATACTCGCTAATCGGTTACTGATCAACGATCCATCCTCGTCACCGGGCCATTTAAACATCCACATCTAAAGTGCCTGGCCCTGACCACGTCGACATAGCTAAAAGTTAGCTAGCGGCTATGCTAAGTCTTCTCCGGCTGACACAACGAGATAAATATCCTCAAAAAGCTTACCTTTTTAGGAAAACGTAGGCCGCGTCATTTGAATGTACATCACTTCATAAATGTCACTGAAAACAAAGGTGGGCAAATAAGTTGGCCGAAATACCAGCAGTAACGAACTGAGGCAAACTCGTCGTCAGATTGTTAGCAAACTAGCAGGCAGCTGACCAAAAGAAAAAAAAAGAAAAAACTTCCATAATAAAGTCGCACTCTATTCTACCTTTAGGGAATGATAAAATGATTAGCAGTCAGAGTTTGTATCGGAATTCATTTTTGTTGGTTCGCAGTTTAAAACAAGTTAAAGAGCCACTCTCGGACTAAGGCTGCCTATTTCTTTGTGCTTCCCCCTTTTAGTCATTGAACTACATTATGGACATTTTCCTGCATCACTTCCTCTGTCTGTGCTAACAGCCAACAGCTGATCTCCATCTGAGCGGGGGTGTCACACCGAATTCTGTCACCATAATAGTTTGGGACTTGACCGGGGAAGTCGAAAAATGTTTTTGTTTTGTTTTCCAGAGTAAAACACTGGATATGGAAAAACAGGAAACAGTTTGTACAGATTTATTTATGCGCTCATTTGCATTTTTAAAATGTAAAGACATGTGGTACAAGTGTATAAAAAACACATCTGCAAGCAGTTTTTTTATTTAATTTTTTAATTGGAGGGTAATTTTATTTGCATTGAGTAGCTTGGTTTAGATTTCACACACCCACACCAGTGGCGGCTGCTGAAAATAATTCTTGGTGGGGCTATGTGAAATATTTCCCTTCTTAGTCCACAATTATTAAAATGCACAGTTGAAAAATGACTACAACTGCGAAACAATCATTAATTTCCCTCCTTTAAATAAGCAGTTTTACAGATTAGATAGATTTTCAAATTTACAGCTAAAAAGACTATAATATCAATAATACTCAAATAAATGCACACGCCAATCATGTGAGCCTTTAAAAGCAACCACAGTCAATAATTTCCATTTCTGTTTTTATTTCCATTTTCTTTTGACAAGCTTGAGTTTTCAGTCTCCTATGTCCTATTTATCTCTCACCTGCTCATACAAAGCATGCACACCTCAAAGCGCAGCACTCAGTGCCACCAGTAGGTTTAACAGGACATAGAAACTGAATTACATATCCTGCTTTAAAGGCACATTTGGCAGTTTTGCTTTCTTTAGCACCCCCTAGTATTCGTTTCGTAGAACCAAAAGCAAAACACATCTCTTTGCTGTGCATTTGTCTTTTTAACACTTGAATCTTAATTGCTGAAAATCTCCCCAGCCTTCCTTTGTGTCTACATGAGCGATTTATCACTAAATCAAACAAATCAGCTGTGTTCATGATCTAAAACACGAAGGAAACAGGCTGGAAGCAGGCTGCAGCACCAAGTATGTCAGCTCTATTTTTTCTAAGCCCAACAGAGTAGACCGGCTTTCAATTCAACTTTGTTTTTCACCTTGTTAGTCATTTTCATTCCCACTCCTATTGCGTAATATTGTTTTTGAACGATTAAAAGTGCAGAGGACAAGAACTTACATTGAAAAAAGTGTGGGGGACACCCCCCATCCCAAAAAACAAACAAACAAAATTATAATAACAAAAACTACGTCCATTGTGTGTCATCAATGGAAACCTTTTGCCTCATTCACTTGGTGGGTCAGTAAGCTTAGAGAGCCAATTGTAATTTGAGGATTGAACTGCCTGAATGTCTTTTTGTTTATCATTTTAATAATGTGACCAACTCTGTGCGGTGCATATGTATGTAGTGGAGGCATAGTTACATCATTGAACAGGACTGACCCACACAATGACAACAAAGGTCTTCTGATTAAGAGAGTTGTCATAATTATTTCATCCATCCATTTTCTGAGCGCGCTTGTCGACGCGGGGTCGCGGGATGGGGGTGGGGTGGGGGGGCTGGTGCCTATCTCCGGCGGTCAATGGGCAATCATGCGGAGTACACCCTGGACAGAGAGCCAGTCCATCACAGGGCAACACAGAGACACACAGGGCAAACAATCATGCACACACACACACACACACACACACACACACACACACACACACACACACACACACACTCACACTCACACCTAGGGACAATTTAGACAGACCAATCAACCTAACAGTCATGTTTTTGGACTGTGGGAGGAAGCTGGGGTACCCGGAGAGAACCCACGCATGCACAGGCTGGGAAGCGAACCCAGGACCTTCTTGCTGCAAGGCGACAGCTCTAACCACTGCGTCACTGCGCAGCCCCATAATTATTTCATTTCACTTTATTTATAGAGTGCCTTCCACAACCCAGATAGACGTCCAAGGTGCTGCACACTACAATAACTGAACATGCAGAAACAGTATAAGATAAACAATAAAAATAGGTGTTAATGCAACAACATTACAGACAGAATCAAATACTAAACAAGTGGAACAGTAGCACCAGACTACTACAGCTATTGTTTAAAGCCTTGATATAAAAAATGTGCCTTCAAAAGTGTCTTAAGAATCGGCAACGATGGCGAATGACAAACTGTCAAAGGAAGCTCATTCCAAAGTTTTGGAGCCAAGACAGAGAATGCCTGGTTCCCCCACGATTTGTCCTTGGTAAGCGGCACTGTCAACAGTTCCCCATCAGCCAAGCGTGATGCCTGTGGAGCGTAGCAGCACAGTACAGTCACCAGTCAGGTATGATGGAGAAGTTTCATGCAAGGTCTTGTAGGCAATTGTTAGCACCTTAAATTCTGCCCTATAATGTATTGGAAGCTAGTGTAGCGATGCCTTAAAGTAACAGTGGCGTAATATGCTTCCAGCATCTGGTGCTGGTCAAAAATCTCACAGCCGCATATCGGACCAATTGCAAACGTGCAACCACACCTTGACCAAGGCTGCAATACAATGCATTACAGTAGGCCAATTAAGGCATACATTGCTGATTTGAGATGTTCACGAGTCAGCATGGCCGTAATGACCTTCTGGCTCACAGTGATGCAGGGGACTGTTCTGTTCAGGTCCTGCTGGACCTGACGGCAGCCTTTGACACTGCTGACCATCACCTGCTACTGGAGAGGCTGAGAGACTGGGTAAGCCTATCAGGAACTGCTCTGGAGTGGTTCTCCTCTTATCTTTCTGAGAGTTCCTTCTCTGTGGCTGTCTCCAAGTTTAGGTACTCCACCACCACCCTTACCCATGGTGTCCCACAAGGTTCTGTGCTGGGGCCTCTACTCTTCCTCCTCTGCCCGATTCCTCTTCAGCACATCCTGAGCTCCTTCAAAGGAATCTCCTACCATCTTTATGAAGATGACATCCAACTGTACATCTCCTTTAAGCCCCATGAGATGTCTAAGCTGCGGATGTTACACACCTGCTTAGACTCTATTAAAATCTGGATGGCTGGGAGCTTTCTACAGCTGAAGGAAGATAAGACTGAGATCCTCATCTGTGCCCCAGACAAGCTGGTTCCCAAAGTCAGAGTCTCTCTTGGGCTTCTCACACCAAACCTTCCGTCAGGAATCTTGGCATGACCTTTGACCCAGCTCTCATCCTGGATTCTCATGTCAGTTCTCTTGTTCGCTCTTCCTTCTTCCATCTTAGGAACATTGCTAAGCTGAGTCCCATTCTGTCCCGCTCTGAACTTGAGACTGTTATCCACACCTTCATCTCCTCGTGCGTACACTACTGTAACTCTCTTTTCACGTGTCTGAGCAAAACCTCCCTGAACCATCTACAGGTGGTTCAGAATGCCTGTGCTCGACTTCTGACTAATGGGCCATTCCCATCTGTACCGGGTCGGCCCGGGCCGGGTAGCGTAGGTTGTTTACATATCTGGGTGGCCTGGTATTTTTCCGTGCCAACCAAGGCTCATTCTCAGCCAGTCGCCTCAGCCAGACTCTATCAAAGCCTGGATGGCTGGGAGTTTTCTTCAGCTGAATGAAGATAAGACTGAGATCCTCATCTGTGCCCCAGACAAGCTGGTTCCCAAAGTCAGAGACTCTCTTGGTCAGCTTGCTTCCCACACCAAACCTTCTGTCAGGAATCTTGGCGTGACCTTTGACCCAGCTCTCACCCTGGATTCTCATGTCAGTTCTCTTGTTCGCTCTTCCTTCTTCCATCTCAGGAACATTGCTAAGCTGAGTCCCATTCTGTCTCGCTCTGAACTTGAGACGGTCATCCACGCGTTCATCTCCTCACGCTTAGACTACTGTAACTCTCTTTTCACGTGTCTGAGCAGAACCTCCATGACCCGTCTACAGGTGGTTAGGAATGCCTGTGCTCGGCTTCTGACCAAGTCCTCCAAATACACCCACATCACCCCGCTTCTCCTCCAGCTTCACTGGCTGCCTGTCAACTTCAGGGTTCATTTCAAGATCCTGGTTCTGGTCTATAGGGCCCTACATGGACAAGCACCATCTTACATTGGTGATCTTCTTAGTCCCTACACCCCCAGCAGGTCCCTGAGGTCCAGTGATCAAAGCCTACTGGTTGTGCAGCGCACCAGGCTAAAGACCAAAGGTGACAGATCATTTGCTGCTGTGGCCCCCAGACTTTGGAACTCTCTCCCCCTGAGCCTGAGATCAGTGGACTCAGTGGTCTCCTTCAAAAAGCAGCTGAAGACTCACTTGTTCAAGCTGGCTTTTGGATGACCTTCTTCACCCCTTTCTCTTTATTCTGCTCTCTCCACCTATTCCACCTTCCTCAGGATCCACTGATTTCCCTCTTTCCTATTCACTCTCTCTCTTTCTTAACATTTTTTCTTTTAAATCGCAATAGCTTATTCTTGCTCATTTTAAATATATTTTAAACATTTTTGAAATGCTTTTTTATATTTTTACAATTTTTTTTATTTTTTGTTTTTGTGAAGCGCCTCGTGATTTTTATCTTGAGAGGCGCTATAGAAATGATGTTTTCTTCTTCTTCTTCTTCTCTTCTCGAGGGGGTCTGCTTCAGGCCAACCAGGGCCAACACACCCACTGCTGACAGCAAATTCACTCCTTCCATTAGAGCAAGCCTCTGATTGGTGGGTGGAATCAGCCCACATGGGCTTAAGACAAGGATGTGTGGAATCAACTGGGCCAGGCTGGGGCCGACTGGGGCTACCCGGCCCGGGCCAACCCGGTACAGATGGGAATGGCCCAAAAGCCTACTGGCTGTGCAGCACCAGGCTGAAGACCAAAGGTGACAGATCATTTGCTTGTGTGGCCCCCAGACTCTGGAACTCTCTCCCCCTGAGCCTTAGCCTGGCAAGACAGACTAAATAAATGTATTATTTAGTCTGGTAATGCTCCATTGATGGCTCTCGGTTGTGGGGCGAGTTCTACCGTTGTCTTTCAAATGATCTCCGCATGCTACTGGACAATGAATGTGACATACTCTTGTTTCACTCTGTTGCATCATCCCACCCACCAGGCATATAGAG